AATTACTTTTGAAGAAAGAAAGCCTTTTTATACATGCTGAATTTTGACTGAATCTTTTTCTTTCCAAATGTTAGTATTTAAGAAGCAACAAATAAAATGGAATTAGTGGTGCTGAAGTGGAAGGCAACATAAATACAACCCATCAAAATCATTAACTTTTTTTAATTAGATTATTAGGGTTTTAATTAATTAAAATGAACTAGAAAAACTTTAGGCATTAATTTTAATTTGGTTCATATGATTTAGTTAAATATTAATAGTTTTAGGACGTTCTTACCTTTACCCAATGGGTTGATCACAGTTTTTGTGGTTCTTTCTTAAAAAAGAAAATTTGTACAAATAGATTCAAACTTATGACATTTTAATAGAAGATATATACTTGAACATGGCTTAACTAAGCATATTCACGAATTTTCAGACGCAACATATTAAACAAAAGGCAACAGAGATTGACTTTGGTATAAGGGATATGAGAAAAGTTACCTTTTATTTTTGTTGCAATGCAACACTCATTTTATACTTTACTAACCGATTTATCCTTTGTCCCACATTTTTTACATGGAATGGTAGCTCATTATCCTAAATAACCACATTTTATTATGTAATAGGGGAAGATCGGAACATAATCTCACATGGGTTAGAATTGAAAAATATATTTAGTACATAAGGGAGAATAATATATTTATTGGTGTTGAATTCAAAAGTAAAATCATATGGACTTAAATATAAAATGAACAATATCATACTATCATGAAGATATAGAAATATCTGTTTCTCCTATTGAATATAGGTTTTGTTTTTCTTTTCATAAAACACTGTTTTAAAACTCCCATAAAGTAAAAGGTTTCATAGAGATGTTGTTCCTCATTTATATATCCTCATTGGTCTTTTTTTTATTCAACTAAAACTTAACTTTGATCACATAATTCCAAATTAATTCTTTCGACTAACGTAACCTCCTCCGTCCCTCAAAATCAATAAGGGGTAGTGCAAGAATATTCACCTATTGTCCATCGACTACCTCTTTCGATCTGATCTTCGACCCAGATTCACGCATTTCATGTAACCTGAAGATTGTCAGAACGATAGATAATACTACTTCTACAAAAGATGTAAGAAGATAAAGAGAGGTTGGTTTTAGATTATAGAGAGAAAAATGTGGGACTGAATTAAATGAAACTCTGTGTCAGTGGTCAAAGTGTGTGGTTTTAGTGGATGAAAGATATTGTCCAGTCAAAGTCAAAGGCCAAAATGCAGTGTGAGTCACAGCCGAAACCTTTGACTGATGACTGTACAAATAATTTAGAAACTAATGTGTGGACTCTAAACAAGTCGACCATCCAAGTCAATCTCAAACTTACAAAACTTAGATTACTAAACATTATTTAACCCAATGTTTTTTCTTTCTAAATAAGAAAATGGTAGATGTGCAAATGAAAATAGCTACAAAAATTGAAGTTTAAGCAAATAATTAAGCTAATCTCATGTATATTGCATATGAGACTTTATATTTGTTATGCAGAGAAAGGGATCAATTGTTAAAAGAAAAAAAAAATCTAGGGTGAGAATATTGTGATTGCACTTAAAAATATTCTTCGACAAAGAGAAATCAATCATGGGATGGAATTGAACCAATTTCTTCTCAATTTATTTTTGCCTATCTAAACCCTGAGCCACCCAAGRTGGTTACGCTCTAAAATAATTATGATAATTTGTTTATACAGACTCTTGTGGTTAAAGAGTTCAAGGTTCCWGTCGAAAGTTTAGGGTTTTAGATACATCGTACCTCCCTTTTTGTCTCGTTGGTTTTAATCATAAGTGACAGATTGTTGAAATTTATGTCTTAAAACTTTATAACACGCTATTTCAAACATTTTAATATAAATTGAATATTTGCATCAAAGTCACTAAAACATTCTTAGATTAATCCTTGCTTGGTTGAAAGCTAGGTATCTGATGAACCATCATGGATAGCTCATTGGTTCAAAGAGATTAGAGTAAATTGATAATGAATCGATTCAAACCCTGTGATAGCTACTTATCTTACTGAACACTCATGGATATAAAATATAAAAGAGTGGGATGAATAATGACATATCGAAGCACAAAAGTAATAGAGTATTGGATGCACGAAGAAGGTGGGAGGTTCAATGTGACGCCCGAGTAGTGAGGAGTGGTACATGAATGAACCGATACCACATCTGAATAAGAGAGATCCTGAGATCATAGAAGAATGGTCAAGAAAAACTTAAAAAAATTGATAATCTCTACCTATACTAACAAGGTGTACCTTCCTTTTCGGTGGCTCAATCATAAGAACTCCAAAGTTAAGAGTGCTTGACTGCTTTACTTTACTAGGAAGCATGTGAGTGAGGACAAAACATGCTGAAAGAACTCGTGTTGGTCTGTAGGGATAGTCTACGTTCTTTTACATGAATGAACCGATGCCACATATGAATGATAGAGATCCTGAGATCATGGAAGAATGATCCAAAAAGACTTAAAAAAATTGATACTCAAATAACTAGCTAGACTACAATGGAAATTGCTTTATGAGGTATAAACAAATGTTCTATTTTTATAATATAATAGATGTATGAAAAATGACTTTTTTTTTTCTTTTTCCAGCTTGAAAGTTTATTATTGATTATTTTTCACATTTTATATTCCAATAAATCAACATCATTAGAACTCAAACTCAAACTTCAAGCACCAATTAAAAACTAAATTCAAACTTTAAACCCAAACAGGTCACTTTGAAATTTAAGAACCAAAAACAAAATTTAAATCTCAGAGACCAAAATTTATGGCTCTTTAAATTCAGTGACCAAATAGAAACAAAATCTAAACTTCGAGAACCAAAAGTGTATCTTACCACTACATATTTTATAATTACTGGCTCCTTTTTTTTTTTGTAGTACATCACAAATAAAAGAGGAAGAAAGGAAAAAACAGCAAACAAAAGAATCTTAAAACTCTCTCTTTAGCAGCCATGAGCTTCTAAGAAACAGTGTCTATGATGGTCTCTGCTCAGTCTTTTGGCAAAACTAAATTTGATGCTATCCTTTTGAACGATTCTTAACTTGAAATCACAAACATTACTTCCAAAACTACATCTTTATGGAAAAATATTAAAAATGTAAAAATGCCCGAATACTGTGGGAAACTGAACCTGCCCACAAAAGAGGCCCAATAAAGGCCCAACCAATGGTCCGGATAGTAAAGCCCACAACAAAGTGATGTAAAAGTGAAAAAAATTCCATTGCAGGGAATCGAACCCGGGTCTCTCGGGTGAGAGCCGAGTACCCTAACCAACTAGACTACAACGGAATTTGAAAATTAATTATGAATGTTACATTTTGATTAACATCTATTTTCCCTCAGTCTTCTATTAAAATTATATTTATATTACTATTATAAATATAATATTAATACCAATATTTTTTTAACTTATTTAAAAATAGCAAATTTTTATTTGTTATAATTTTTTTTAAATTTTTAGAATTTTTCCATCAAATTTTTCATAAAATTTTGACTTCGACATTTCCATCGATAATGACARTTAAAAGCTTGTGAAACTTGCAACTCAAAATCTCAACACACATTGATCGGTCTTAACACATTGACAATTTTAGTGGGTCACAATAAGTGACTGGTGAAAGGTTTTGACCAATTGCGTATTAATGATTGGCTATTAAGGCTACGTTTAGTTAACCGTAATCGTAATGAAAATCAATTGTAATGAAATCAATCGGAATCGTAATTTTATTCCATTGGTGTTGTTTACTAAAAATTTTCTGGAATCGTAATAAGAATTCCATTGATGTTGTTTACTAAAACTGTCTGGAATCGGAATCGGAATCGGAATCAAATATATGACAATTACTAATATACCCATTTCTCCTTTTTAGCCAATTACAAATATATTATTGTGCTAATCTTTTTTAAACTACAGTAATAATAAATTTTAATTTAATTTATTATTATATTATTGATAGTAAATATTTCTTGTTATAACAATTTATCTAATATTAATACATCATGAATAATTAAAATAAAATTACATCAAATAAAATATTTTTTTAGTAGAACAACCAAATTTTAATAAAACATATTATTAAGTTTTATTATTCTAATATCTAAAAGTAATAATATCTATTAAAAAAATTATTGATATTAATTAATATTAATATTATATAATAAAATCACATAAACTAATAAAAATTGGAGTATAAATGAAGAAAAAATTATAAAAGTACAAAAAAAACTAATCCATAGAAGAGAAAGAAAGGGTAAAAGGTAGTACATTAGTGTAATGGGATGAATTCCACCATTTGATTACATTCCTACAATTTGGTAAACACCATCAAAGAAAATCAAAGTTTTCATTACGATTCATTGATTACGATTGTGGGTAAGTAAACGAGGGCCTAAATAAGCATTTACCTAGGTCACTATTTTGGTAATTTTAGAAGCATATGTTTCTTTCTTCTACATGCTGGAGTCAAATTTCAGTTCTTTAGACTTCTGTTTGTATGTACCATAGAATCCTAATAATGTATTAACCTTTCTCTGATTTCGATTCGTTATTGCATAAATTGTCACACTAATTTCATACCTGTGAGCACTAATAAACAACCAAAGGGAATGACAAAATTCAGATGCTCTAAAGCACTAACCAGCCACAAAAAGGAGCAATCCAAGGATGAGTGTTTATATATTTCTCATCTTTCCTTGGTTGTTGAAAAGAGGATGCAATAAAAATCTCTTCCTACTTTTCATTCACTTTCGATCAAATTCGAAACTTTATCTGCACCCAGGATGACATTTTTAACTTGGAATAGCAAAACCCTGCAATGTGTTCTTGCTCCAGTTCTATCTGTTCTTCAAGAAACAAAGAAACCTTCTGTTCTTTAATGAACATTCAATTAAATTTAAAAAGAAACTCCACATCCAAATGCTTTCGGGAATGAAAGATGCAAGGTAGCCAAAATGTGATGTATCATTCCAGAACAAACTTGTCAACTCCTATTGATCAAATTGCTTGATTTGTTTCAATAACAAACGTTTGCTCATAAATTTAACTGGTAAACAAATTTTGAATCTCCAACATATGAAGTGAGTTGCAGTTTCTATACACATACGGCCAAAACCTGCAGTTCATATAACCATCATCGAGCTCTTATCGACTTCTCCTTAGCATGTTAAACAGATACAAACAAAACAGCATTACCGAACAAACACATCCCTTCATTCCTCAAGCTATCTGTCAATGGCAGATTTCTCCATTCTAGCAGTTCTCTACCATACAATATATTTCAAAACTGAGTTCAGATCTCAAGATAGTTATGTAATAGCTTTCTCATTGATGACACAATCAGCATTTAAATTTCCTACAAAATATTTTCAAAGGATGCAGTTTAATCAGTTGATATACTCAGCCAGCCAGCTTGTGGGTATGCATCATTACTCTTTCTAATGTAAGCAATGGCTTCAGAGATCAGAGTTAGGACTCAACAATACAGGAACAAAACCAAYAAGCATGGACAATAATGTAAGAGATAAAAGAAAGACTACATTCTTACATATGAATCACAGAGGCGGAAACTCATCTCCCTTCAAAAAAAAGAATGATGAGAAGCATTAGTAGCTATCTCGAGGAAAGTCTATGATGCAAATCATCAGCCAACGCCTGCCTCACACTTTCACCATAATAACACAAAGACTTCTCACTGTCGAGGATATTAGGCGCAGGGCCACTCTCCTCTGGGTCCCTCAATGGCTCTGGCTCCGGCTCTTTGGCAATTTGACACAAATTATGCAACACACAACAAGCAACAATGGTCTGTGGCGCATGATTTAGGCCCACATTCAAATCCTGAAGAATCTTCCACCTAGCCTTAAGCAACCCAATTGCATCCACAACTACAGAACGACCCTTCATGAGCATTCCATCAAACAGGTTCTGTGCAGGCGTGCCGATGCCATTCGACGAAAACGGGGTCAGCAGGAAAGACAATAGAGGATAACCCCAATCTCCAACTATGTAGGGCCGAACATGGTGACCCCTAACATTGATAACCTTATCCCAAACTACATCGCCGGAGGTAAGCCTATGGTACATAAGACTATCCCTAAAATGGCTTGCATCGTCGCTGCCACCAGGTGCTTTAACGCACACATCCCAGAAGATCTTCTTGTTGTCCGAAACAACCTGAAGAAGAACCGAGGGATACCCAAATCGGCAATTGTAATTAGTCGAGAAATTTTGGTCGTTAGGGACACGACGGAGCTTAATTGGACTCCCATCAATGGCTCCACACATGTTGGGGAGTGAAGTCAACTCCTCAAACGCCTGGGTTGTCTCGATCAATCTCCGGCGACTGACAGGAATCTTGATGAATTCAGCGTAAAGTTTCGTGGCCAGGAGGCGGGTGACCATATTGGTGATCTTGGAAACGAGATAGGGCTCGAGGGAGAAGCGCGCGGCTAGGGTTTTAGCAGAAAGGCCATGGCAGAGGCGGGAAAGAACCATGGCGACAGCGTAATCGGAGGGGAGAGAGAGATTAGAGAGGGCTATGTGAGGCTTGAGCTTGTCGACAATGGTGGTGAAGACAGGGTGAGAAAGGCCGTAGAGGGCGCGCCAATGAGCGTCGCGAAGAGGGGCTTCGAGGGACCAAATATGCTCCGTGGAGAAGGCGCGGAAAGCGGAAACGGAGTAATTGGAAGGGGAGGCAGTGGAGGAGGAGGAAGGAGGAGGAGGAGTGGTTGCAGCGGCGGCGGTGGCGGTGGCGGTGGAGGAAGGAGAAGGAGAGGAGGAGGAATTAGGGCGAGAAGAGGCAATGAAGGAGAGGACGGAGGCGATGGTGAAGAAGAGGAGGGGGGCGGCGGAGGAGGAGGAGAGGAGGCAGGTCGGAGAGTTGAGGGAGGCGGAGGAGGGGGAGGAGGCGGAGGAGGGAGTGGAGGGGAGAAGGGAGATCGTTGGATCCAGATGGTTGTGGAGATGGAGGAGAGTCGAGAGCATCAACAAGAACGACTGATCCATAATTCTTGTTTTCGCCGGCGAAATTTTCAGATTCCGAGGAGGAGTTGTCTTCTCCGGCGGAAACGAAGAAGAGAGAGAGAAAGGGCCGGCCAAGGGTTCTCTCTTTCTCTCTCTGATCAGAGCTTTCTGTGTTGCATTGCAATGGCGGATGGCCTGAAAACCAGATCGGTCCGGTTCTGGTTCGCTTCTTCAGGCCCGTTCTCTACCAGCCCAAACCGGGCAGGCCTTTGGGCTGGGCCCGTTTATTCTTCTTGTTAAAACAAATGTTTTCTTTAGCTTATTGAACAAATTGGTAAAAATGAAGTGAGATTCTAGGATCAAACTAATTTATTAGTACAAGAAATAAATTTATTAAATTTTTATAACAAAGAATATTTACTATCAATAAATAATAAAATAAATTAAAACTAGGGGGAGTTACAAATATGATAAAAATATTTAGTAAAATAGACAAAATAACAACCACATTTTGTTTTTTCAAATATAGCATTTCTTCAACAAAAAACAGAGGTCTAATTTAAAAATTACAACTTTACCGTACAATAATATCTGATATACATCTGTAATATATCTGATTACTGATATATGCCTCTGATATACCAATGATATAATAATGATATACAATTGATTTACTTCTGATATAACACTATGATATCCACTAAACTTCTAACATGGCTTACCACGGATATACGTATGGTAACCCTTGATTTACCATGCCAATACAACATTTATATATATGTGATATATACTTGACATGTCTCTAATTTACCATTAATATAAATGATATATCACTGATATAATTGTGATATCTACTGATATAACTTCTTATATATGATTATATGATTTACGACTAATATAACACTAATATATATTTGGTATATACTTAATATGCTTTTAATTTACCACTGATAAACCTACGATATAACCATGATATCACTAATATAACTATGATACATGTGTGTTGATATAATACTATTCTATCCACAATTTTTTCATATGAAAACAAGGATACCAAAAAAAAATTTAAAATTTAAAGTTATTAATTATATAAAGGATTTACGTGGATCATGTACGTAAAAAAAAAACAAGTTAAAAAGATGATATACTTTATAAATTTAAACCGCTGATATCCATTATATTTAGTATCTAATTAATTAATATAGAATAAACGGTAGTGATATACTAATCAACATTTTTTATAATATTAGTATATCAATTAACAAATTGCAATTTGCAATGGTAAACTAGAATTTATAACAGATGATATACCAGTGAAAATTAAACATTTGATAAACCTTATATTTAGTATATCAGCTGCAAATATATTTAGTATATCATAAATTAGAGGTACATCAATTATATATATTAAAGGTATAATACATACATTTGATAATGTATATCATGAGTACATCTTATGTATATCATAAGTATATCAAAGGTAAATTAGATGTATATCCGATATAGATTTGATGTATATCAGATACATATATACATTGGATATATATCAGATACATATATACATTGGATATATATCAGATACATATATACATTTGATGTATATCAGACAGCATCATGGTAAAATTGGAATAATAAAACATCCAAAAATAAAAATTCAAATATTTTGCTATATTTGAAATTTTGAAAAACTGGTGACATTTTTTGAAATACATAAACTAATATTAACATAATATATATGTAATTAGCTATAAATAAGAAACAAGTATTTTACTAATTGTTATTTTTATTTTTATTTCGATTCCAGACAGTTTTAGCAAACAACATCTATGTTTCTCATTTCAATTCTAGAAAAATTTTAGTAAATAGCATAAAAGAAATAACATTCTCATTTTTCATTCTTATTCCTTATTTTGTTTCTAGTAAGCGGATGGGCTAAGGTTAAATAATAATTTTAGAACTTGAAATTTGATGGTATTTATTTTGTTTTTAAAATTTAGATTATGTCATGTAACTTTCAATTTTGAATTCTAATAAATTTTTATCATTAATGTAAAATGCTAAAATGGTAGGTTGGTTGGATCAATGAAAGACAAATAAATTCGGCAAAAAAAAAAAGGCTTATATATATGAAGCAATTCAATGAATAATCTTTAATTATATTACGTTTTTTGTTTGGAAGAATTTAATAATATATGGTAATTGATTCAGTAGTTTTTTCATGTAGTTATTTATTATTAGTATGGTAAAACCTAACATATAATTTTAAAATATTAAAATAGTGCACTTCACAAATTTATTTGAGGATTATATTGTTCGAGATTGATCTTAACATGGTTGAAGAAAGTCAACATAAGGTGGAACATGACATCGTCCCTTGAAGAGATAATTTCAATTAAAAAAATCATAGTTAAAAAGAAAATAATACTTATCATATGGTTGGTCCATGAAATCATACTATATTCATTTCTCTCCAATAAACAAATTACTTATAATTTAATGAGGTTGATTTGGTTCAAGGTACATCTAAAATAAGTATGCAATAACTATCTTTCCACGTTAAATCATTTTTATGACCAATTATTTTAACTAAACTCAAATACTAATACGATTTTAACTAAATACATCTCTTCTAACGGTAGAAAAACCACCATCTTTCCATAATCAGCATTAATATTACCTAGATAAACAAAATAATTATTATGGGTACAATTCAATTTCGACCAACATGAACTTAGCTTAATTGACATCTGTGTAAGAGATCATGAGTTCGAATATTTTACCTTCACTTGCTGTACTAAAAAAATGGATTCGATTTCGAGTCTTCTGTTCCTATATAAACCCCTAATCTCAAATAGAGTGGCCATCAAGATATTAACAAAGAAATATAGACAAAATGGCTTGCACAGCTTCAGAAGCCATCCTCCTCGTGGTGGTACTCTCCATGTTGGCCGTCTCTTCCGCCGTAAGTGGCTGGGATCAGATGCTATTCCCGTCCCCTCCGCCGCCGCAAATTAGTTCCGACATGATCGCCGCCGTCTCTTCCGCCGGTAGTGGTTGGAATCAGTACCTGTTTCCGTCCCCTCCGCCGCCACAAATTAGTCCCAAGAACAAGAAGATCATGGTCGGTGGCTCTGAGAATTGGCGTTTCGGCTTTGACTACAATAATTGGGCACTGAAAAATGGACCTTTTTACATAAACGACACCCTTGGTGAGTTTCAAATTAAGTATGTAATATTGAAAAATACTCCCTTTCCCACCAGGACTATTGCCAAGTGCGGTTAGAAACTGACACCTCRTTCTTTAAAAAGAATTTTTGTTTTYGCATTATTTTAGTCGAACATTATTTAAGGGCGATGAAGATAAGATTTTCCTAACGGATGAGGAGACAAATATTTTCCTACAATATAAGAAGAAAACAAATTTTGTTTGTAAAATACTTGGGTGTTACTGTGTGTTTGACTACCATTAAAAGATTGACGATCCATTCATTTTATAAAAAAATTTAATTRTGATAAGCACAAGATAGTGTTCACCAATCAACATTTGTCAATTTATTTTACGAGAATATTTGACTTCTTACCACAAAGAACCAAATCTTATCTTCATCATTATTGAAAAATTGAAAACTTATTATTGAAAAAAATCTATGTTTTTACATTTATCTATTTCTTGTGAAAAGTTTAATAGTGGTGAGGGAAAGATTATTTGAATAAGGAGCCAAGTATTTTTCTTTATTTTTATATAGTTCGAATTCCAGTTTTGTTATCTTATAATTCTCTACTTTCAAAACATCCSTTTAGYATGTGTACTTTCAACTTTTTCTCTATTTTCAAAATATCCATTTTCCTCAACTTTTTAGAATTTGTCATTTTGATCCACTCATTTTAATTTTTGCCTCAATTATTTCAATCATAATTTTAACACTACACTTTACTCCCTAAATCTATTGAAACATAGTCACAAATTTGTATTAAAAGGATTTCCATTGTACARTATAAATTAAGTCTCATATAAATCTTACAAATAGTGATCACATTGGTCGTCAGTTTTCTAAACTACAGAGATTAAAACTAACATTTTAAAAGTAGAAAGACAATGCAAGAATCATATAATGAAGGTTTTTACGGACCAAAATAGTATTTTAACCTCTCGAATTTTTTTTTTTGAACGGCTGCAGTTTTCAAGTACGATCCTCCCAACAGCACAACATTTCCTCATAGTGTGTACTTGCTTCCAAACTTGGGGAGCTTTTCCGAGTGTGATTTGAGGGCGGCTCAAAAGGTGGCGAATTGGACGCAAGGAGGGGGAGATGGCTTTGAATTTGTGCTTCAACAATCCAAGCCATACTACTTTGCCTGTGGAGAACGTAACGGCTTTCATTGTAAAGTTGGAACCATGAAGTTCTCTCTTACCCCACAACTTCCTCATTAGTCTATATGTTTTCCAAACACATTACAAAGAAATTCCAAACTATATACCAATGACTTTTCAGATATTCACTTTCTGCGATGATCTGATCTCTATAAAATCGATTCGATAATTCTCTCTTTTATTGTTTCTTTCTACCTAATCTCTGGTTTTCAACCATATTTGATACCGTAGAAATAATTACGAAGCGTAACTATAAATCTGGTTAAGGATCACAGATGGAAAATATTTGGCATTTCTTTCTCCTAGTTGTCAAACATTTAATGGTGGTGAAGATAAATGGGAGTACCAATACTCCCTCCCATTTACACAATAAATAGAAGAAATGGACCCCACATCGCAGTACTTGAAATTTTTCCAATATTTTTAATATACATAGACTACTCCTCTCATTGCTAATTCATTTTGARATGAAACCTTATGAATATTGATAGGAACTAATCACAAAATATGAAGACTCGAAGGAAAAGGGAATAAGCACAACGAGCAAGTTGACGTTGTCTTCTCGATATAAATATATCACACTACTATAGACATAATATTAGTATCAATAATTTTAAACTTATTTTAAAATGATGAAATGTTTATTTGTCATATTAGTTGTGAATTTTTTTTATTTTTATAATATTTTCAGAAATATCGATCAATATCGATATTTAAAATTGATGGTAAACAATTAATAGAAATGAGCAACAAGACCTATTGTCCACATTAAATAGTTTCTTCTTACACTATTTCCTTCCTAGACATAAGACAAGTTTTTTGCTTATGCCACCCTAAGAATTACTCCACGATCAAAATATTTTAAACTATATGGATTAAATTGTTACCAAATTTAAAATACAGGAAAACACGTATTTAAATTACCGTTGAACTATGCTCGATAAAAAAAAAATGAAAACAATGATTAATGGGGAATACATAAAAACAAAAGTAGGATAGCATAGTATGATCTCCCATTATGGGATATTCTTTATTCGACAGTATTTAAGTACTAATTAGTAATTGAAATTAAACTAAAGCTCGTAAAACAGTAAATTATTGTGAAGGGTTTAAAAAGAAAAGTATTTTAATTAAGATAAATCCATTTGAAGAAGGGTTGTTCTAACTCTGAAGTATTGGTGTGACAGAGAACTTCATGGATCCATTTTTGCAATGGAAGCCATTGCCTTCTCCACAGGCAAAGTAGTAAGTTTTTTGTTGTTTGAGCACAAATTGGAAGCCATCGCCATTTCCTTGTGTCCAATTTGCAAGCTTTGTGGCCCTTCTCAGATCACAGTTTGAGAAGCTTTGCATGTTTGATAGCAAGTACACACTGTGGGGAACTGTTGCGCCCGTTGGAGGATCATACTTGAACACTGCAAAATTACAACTTTCAATAAGTTCTGTGATGGGAATTTTCTAACGAACTGTGAAGTCAAATCAAAGTACTGTTGGTGTAAGTTTACCTAGAATGTCGTTGAGAAAAAATGGACCGTTTTTAAGGGCCCAGTTGCTGTAGTCGAAGCCAAGATGCCAATTCTCCGAGCCACCCACTATGATCTTTCTAGGGCTTTGTGGGGGCGGTCGCGATGAAGGTGGGGGCGGTAGTGATGGCGGTGATGGCAATGGTGGTGGGGGCAGTGGTGACGGTGGAGGTGGCGGTGGCGACGGTCGAGTTTTTGACTGTGGGGGTGGCGGTGGTGACCGTCGAGTTTTTGGTTGTGGGGGTGGTGGTGACGGTAGTGGTGATGGTGGCAGTGGTGGCGGTGGCGGCGGCGGCGGAGGCAATAATGATGGCAATGGTGATGGTGGCAGTAGTGATGATGGTGGTGGCGGTGGCGATCGTCGAGTTTTCGGTTGTGGGGGTGGCGGCTGAAATAGTCGAGTTTTCGGCTGTGGAGGTGGCGGAGGAAACCGTCGAGTTTTTGGCTGCGGGGGAGGTGGGAACCGTCGACTTTTAGGCTGCGGGGGCGGTGGGAACCGTCGAGTTTTCGGTTGTGGGGGTGGCGGCAAAGGCAGTGATGGATGTGGTGGTGGTGGAAATCGTCGAGTTTTCGACTGTGGAGGTGGTGGAAACCGTCGAGTTCTCGGGTGTGGGGGCGGGGGACTCCTATGCCTTTGTTTGGAATGCCAAGGGCAATTGTAGTCTTGAAACCAATCCCCCATGGCTGAGGTTACATTTGACATAGAGGCTATTGTGAAGAGGAGAATTGCTAGTAAATATATGGAAGAAGCCATGGTTGGATTTATGAAGCTTTGAAATTGATAGAGGAAGAACAAAGCTATAATTTTGTATTGTGGGAATGAAATGTTGATGTTGCCAAATGTTTGAGTTGATGGGGTTCTTATATAGTGATTGAAGAAATCAAATTTTGAACTTTTTTCTCCAATTTTCTCCCCAAGTTGAGTCTTCCACTTCCACTACTTTGCGAGCTCCATGATTTCAACCTAACTTTCATTACAATTTCTATACTTAAATTCAAATGTGATGCACATTTGTAATCATTATAATGCGTGTCCAAGCAATAACATCATGTAAAAATCAAAGACAAATATTTTATTTTAAAATAGGTTAACAATTTTCTATTTTTCTAAAAAAAAAACAAAAATTATTGTGTGTGATTATTTAACTATGAAGTGTGAAATGTTTTGCCTCATAATTATGTAGCTTTATGCTATTTTTATAATCTATTTAATAATTCATCCAACTTGAGATTCTCTGAATACTAAGCGTTGGTTCATGTTTTGAAAACATAAATCTGAAAACAATGATAAAATGAAAATAGAATTGTATTCCATTTTTGAGATATATGTTTGGTAGTAGAAATGAAAATTGAATCTAAATTAAAAAAATAATCAAGGTGTTTTATAAATACTAGTGAGTCATTGGTTACCTACTAAATATTTAGTTTAATTTGTTATTAATTTATTTATTAACATAAATGTTATAAATTTTGATAGAATTAGTATTTTACACTATCATATATTATATCTTAAATGTTTTAACAAAAATTAAATAGGTTTATAACATAAAAGAGTTTATCAAAGTTTYACCTTTTTAAATATCATTCTACACTGAAGATATAAAAAAATTGTTTTCTCAATTTGCACTATTTGAATTATAAGAATCCCAAAATAGCTTTTTAAACAACCATGTCAAACAAATATTCACTTCATTCACCAAATCTGATAATATTAAGGTCTTGTTTACTTACTAAGACCCCGTCTACTTACGTGCAATCGTAATCAATGAATTGATTTCCTTTAGATAGTGTTTACGAAATTGTAGGAATGTAATCCAACTGTGGGATTCACCYCAAATTTTGTAATCTCATGTGTAATCCCATTACACTCCTACAATCTATCAATCTTATTCTTCCTTATTACGTGGACTCCACCTATATATTATAATTAATGTATCATTTTTATCATTTCTCTCTCATCTATGGATTAGATACATATAATTTTTAATTARTTTTTTTATACTTTTATAATTTCTTCTCCATTTATACTCCAATTTTTATTAGTTGATGTAATTTTATTATATAATATGATAAATTAATATTAATTAATATTAATTAATATCAATAAATTTTTTAAATAGATATTATTACTTTTTAAATATTAGAACAATAAAACTTAATAATATGTTATATTAAAGTTTGGTTTTTCTAATAAAAATATTTGATTTGATGTAATTTTATTTTAATTATTCATTCTGTATTAATATTAGATAAATGATTATAATAAAAAATATTTACTATCAATAATATGGTAATAAATTAAATTAAAATTTATTATTATTGTAATTTAAAAAAGATTAGTACAATAATATATTTGTAATTAGTTAAAAAAGAGAAAGGGGTACATTAGTAATTGTCATTGATTGCTTTCCATTACGCTTGCGATAAGTAAAGGTGGCCTAATCAGGATCTAAATTCTCTACCAAAATGTGCGCTAAATTTTTCTAAAAAAAATATTAGCACTAAATATCAATTAACTCAAAAATTTTAACTTTTATATATATATATATATATATATATATATATATATATATATATATATTATTTTGGTGTATATTATTCTTAATCCTCTTCCTCATTTGTTGATTCGAAATTAAGTTCAAAGTTTCCAATTAAGTTCTAAAATTAATGTGAGATCGAAGGAGTTGAATTACCGAGATTAAATTAGGATAAAATAATATTACACCTAGTTGGAATATAAAATCCCTCCTACTTATGATACATCATGTTAAATTATTATTAAACTAGAAATTAATGTAGATTTCCTCTTTGAATTAAAATTAATTCTTCATCTCATTCCCAATATTATTTGTAAAAAATTATTTTCTGTCTTTAACTTAATTGAAATATACTCTAAATGACTAAAATAACGAACAATATTGATGCTGAAATGGGTTGATAATGTCAAATTCCTTTCCACTCAAAAACAAGTCAACCAAATTTACAAAAAGAAGGAACATAATTAAGTCTCAATGTGCCACTAATTAGAAACTAAAAAGAAATTTCATTTGCTAGGTTTTCAATTGTAGCTATAGCCTACACTTTAGAAAATAATAGTGGGAATTTGGAAGCATAAAGGTGTGTGGCTCTTTACCAGCATGCCCCTTTGAAACATATCCACTTTTTTAATTATATGTCATGACATTATTATGATGCCAATATGACATTATTGTTCTAACCATATATACGATACATTTTTTGATTCAAATCGTATCTCTTTTATCTCTTCTTAAAAAAAAAACTTAGTTCTTTCAACTTCACTGTAAAAATTTGAACCTCTTAACCAATTGAGTAATATTTGGGGCCGCTAAGTTTTCTCTCTTCCTTATTAGCTTAAGGTTCAAATAGGTACATGTATTAATACAATTTTTTTTWAAAATATATTGATACAATTAAATAATATCACATTTTTCTTAGGTATTTTTTTTTTAAATATTGCCATTCAAAGAAATGAAGGAAATTCGTGACCAATAAATTACTAATGTCTTGACCATTTTTTTTAGTACAACATGTGGAAGTGTGAGATTGAACTTACAATGTTTTAGTTTGAGATATATGTAAATTACTGATGAGCTATGCTCGCTTTGACAATATTTTGACCAATTAAACTATACTTAATTCAATCGATAATTATATTACACTTGGAAGATGTCATATTGATATCATCAATAAGAAATAAATGTATATGAATATTTCCCAACCTTGTTTCTGTTAAAGTTTCAGCAACTCCTTTTAAGTTTTTAACAACCTTTTGTAATGAGTGGCATTGACTTGATTTATTTTCCATATTTGTAGCATTCCGACTTACTAACTTCTTTGGGTTGAAGAAATTATTATCACCAACCCATTTTCTTTTTCTTCTTCTTCTTCCTTTTCTGACCATCCAAGTTTTGGTAATCATATTCATGGGTTTCACCAAAGAGTTCAAATTAAGGGATTCATTGTTCATAGCTATTTTGTTTCAATAGAATATGTTGGTTAATCCACCATTTCGAGCATTTCACTTTTCTCAAATTAAACTACGTGCTCCACCGCTTGTGCAACCCTCCATCAATTCTCACCTCGTACCCCTTTCCTCTGTCTTAGACAACAGTTGAAAGAGCTGCTCTTCTTTAGAAATGATTAAATAAAAACAATATACACCGATTATAGATTTTCAACCATAACAGGGAAAGGATATATCACAGTCTATATTACTTTTTTTTGTTCATAGAAATAAAGATTTGAACCTCTGATCTTTTGATCGAGATATATACCGTAACCAATTGAACTTTACCTAAGTTGACATGTATATTACTTGAAATTATTAAAATCACTACAAAATGAAAAAAAAAATCCCTATTTAACACTTTCAAATCAACCTTCTGGTTCATCATATGTATATAGTTATAAATCATTGAATCGCAGGGGCTTTCCTTGCAATCACAGAAGTTACAAGTAGCTCATACCAAGAGATTGGCCAATCAATTAAGTAGCCAGGAATGTAATAATAATAATAAAAGATTAATACCCCTTCTGAGAAAGAATATAATATAATGAAAACAGAATGAGATCTATATTTCTATAAATGGAAAATGATTTCATTTAACTACAATCCAAGTTCAAGATTACATCAACAAAATATAGCTAACCATCATTTAAACAAAATTGATCAGAATCCGTTTTAAAATCACTAAAGCTACTGTTTGTTTATATATTTTCCTCTTTGAATGCCATTGGTACAAACTTCAGTTTTGTACAGTTGAACTAACCGTTAGGAACTGGGTCTCTGATTCTCTTTCATCTGCTTCCAAAAAAAAAAAAACCTGAAATTTGAAGACATGGTTCTCTCTCATCATACATAAATTGAAAAATACCAATACCACATTCTCATCATCAATAGAGAAAAAAAAAATTCATTTGATAACCATTTTATTTTTAAAAACTTAATTTAGCTAAGAATTCAAACATGGAAAAAAACAAGCATAATTTATAAAAGCTAAAAACTAAAAGGGAAAGGATTATCAAACGACACCACCCCTAGAAATCTTAACCAAACTTTTAAAAAAAGAAAGAAGTTTTTAGAACTAGGATATTGATTAATTTTTAAAACACGGTTAGAGTTCTAGTTTCATTTTAAAAGATAAACTACAAAATAAACAAAGTGTACCATTGGATAGCGAAATCTTATTGGAACATCTTGCTATATGCTTTCCTCTCCAGATCACGTCTATCAGAAATCTGTAGAACAAATTAGTCCTTAGATCATGTATTCTTGCAATCATAATAGATAATACACAAGATTACTGTCTACCAACCTTTTTCTTAGCAGCAGCCAGCTCTTTCTTTATCCCAGCTGAGAATAATTAATTACAAAAATTTCAATCTTATCATATATTCATAAACAGAATTCAATGCGTGTTCAAGTACAAACATTAGTTTCATCAAAAAAAAAGTACAAACATTAGTATTCATAAATAAATAAAAGCCAAAAAAAGTGGGMAACAAGAAAAAAGAACAGAAACTTCACTTTATAAAATAAGTTGTCAAAAATATTGTTTCGGGAAACTTATTGTTTTTTGGGACTTTATACATATAGTACAATGTTCTACTTTATTGTGTTTTCGGAAGATGTCATTGCCTTGAATAAATATAGTTTATATTATGTGATTTGAGTTTTATTTTAATTGCAAAAGAAATTATTTTATCCGTCTTTTAGTCAGTGTCTTCATTTTTAGAAAAATAGTTTCATAATACTTGTGGAATCACTTCTAATTTCAAAAAAGCCCAATTCCGACGATAAAAAATTACATCAACATACAATATCATGCACATGAAACATGTATCTGTGCTTCTTTACTAAAAAATTTGAATTTCCAACCAAGAAATATACCAACCAATTATAATAACTTAAAGCCAACTCAAAAGAAAACCAAGGAAAATGGGGAAGTAATATCTCACAACTGTGGTAAAAGATCATGACTCACCATCGTTTGGTTCCAAATCCAATGCCTTCTTAAAGCTTTCAACTGCAGCATCGATGTCATTRAGAGCCATATAAGCCTGATAAGTGAGAGGGTAATTAGCTAAAAGAACGTAGAAGTTTCACGGTCTGATAAAAATAAAAATATCACCCGTAGAAATTTCTTCCAACAGGCAATCGTTGCACAGGCAAAAATATAGATAGAACCTCTTGTTCACTGCAATCCTCATCAGTCATCAAATACCAACCTGACCTTGGCGGAACATGGCTTTTACATTGTTATCCCCTTCACGCATTGCAAATTCAGTGTCCAATAATGCTCCTTTTAGATCCCCCAACTTCAGTTTACAAGCCTACAATAGACAAAAGGAATCCATGACTACACCGAAAAAATGAAGCATCTGAAAGGGGCATTGCCAAAATGCCAATTGCGCCAAACAGCGATGAGCACCCAAGGGATTCTATTTAGTCGCCTTTCTGTCACGCCTTTTGCACCTTAGTAAATTAAACAATTTTCACTTTTCTTTTATATGCATTTGATTTACGTTCTTCTCTCATTAACTCTTGAAAATAAAAAAAGTATTGATGCAATGTATAAATARTAACGTTGTTGAAGTGCTAGGGATCAATATAAAATTATCTACTTCTTTGCAATTCTTGCTAAAAGAGATGTGATACCCAATCATCCAAACTACATGTCCTGTTATAATCTATTTATCTTCGTCTTTCAATATATATATATTAGTTATTTTTACTGGCAAATAGTTTCGTAGTGTTATTAATTTATGTGAAAGAAAACTTGTAAAATAGACAAGAATGAGCTCCGTATTTTGAAAGGCATTATGAAGACTGCAGATAATTAAAGAAAGAATAGGCAAAATTAAAATTCAAGTTTTAAAGAAAAGCTGGTTCAAAAAAAAAAGTTTTAAAGAAAAGCATAAAAATCATATTAGTACCAGCGCATGAATAAAACAAAAATAACAACCCTACTGCATCCTACCCTTATACCAAGCAAAGAGTAAAAGATGTTATGAAGTTGTGCAGAGGCTAATAACTATGAAAATGATTTCCACGGCACAAATATGCCAATAAGAATCAATTATAAAAAACATTTCCATATGGAGTGGTATGCTTATATGAAACCTTCGTGCTTGAGATTTAAAAAAATGCCATCGTCCTGGTATGAAGGGACAATATTGTGATATATTTACAAAATAAAATATCATCACTGAGTACTGAATGAAAACTTACAGAGCTGTTCGTGAATATCTGCGACTTGGTCTTCCTCAGACTCGAACTCTTCTCTGTTAAGAACATAAAAGATCAAAGATTTAGAGAACCATTGTGGATTATATACGGTTCCCATAAATGAAAGTAATGCAGTTTTTTTTTCTTTTTTTAAGTAAATGCAGGTAATGCAGGTAAATGAACAGTTTACCTTCATCAATCCCTTCTCTCTCCCAGCAAATATCAAGATAACGCAAAGCCTTCCTATACTTTCTGAGAGCCATCTTGTAATCTTGCTTCTAAGAATTTTATTCAAAACATTTTGTGGTTAACAAAAATGGAAGTAAAGTAAAGTGAAAATTTGAAGACAATAACTATAAAAGCAAATAATTTAAAATAATAATTTAATGAAGTACAAAATATCACTTCCGACGTGATTAGAAAAGACAAGGATAGACAACTAAGTACCCAAATGACACGATTAAGATTTCATAGAACCTTTACAATATGATTTTACCTTAAAATGTTCATTACCAAAAGCCTTAATAGAATCCACAGCGCCCATCCACCAAGATAGTTCAAAAGGACTCTGGTCAAGGTCAGCTGGCCAATCAGGATAGGCATCACCATCTTTGAAAAAATTTGATATTCCATCATCCGACCCTTCAGGGATTTCTCCACAATCCGCAATTATGACATCAAGAGTTGGGCAATCATTCTCACCAGTTATAACATGTTCAATTGAACGAACAACACCCATTCCTTTCACCACCCTCCCAAAGACCACATGCTTTCCATCCAAATGAGGTGTACGTGTAGTTGTTATGAAAAATTGAGACCCATTTGTGTTGGGACCAGAGTTAGCCATAGACAACATTCCTTTTCTTTCGTGTTTCAGTTCAAAATTTTCGTCGTCAAATTTCAAACCATAGATAGATTCCCCACCAGTACCATCACCAGCAGAAATATCCCCACCTTGAATCATAAATCCTTTGATTACACGATGAAAGCAGACACCCTAAAAGTTTAAACAATTGTGACTTCAAATATAGTATTAAGAACTCAACATAATCATGCTTGAAGGATAATAAATTTTGTGCATTCTAGAATACGTAATAAAGCTGTGTGCCAAGCCTCATTAACCAACCACGATATGCAAAACGTAAAGGCACAAAAGCGCACATCGTTGATAATATTTTTTTCATTCATACAATYTCCATGGCAACAATAATCTCTTGAAATAAAAAACTTGCTTTCTCCCAGGTATAAATAAATAGAAACAATCTAATGGTCAACCATAGGTGTTTCACAAAGATAATACATAATACATAATAAACATAGTTATGACATAGTAAGAAAAAGACATAAGACTCGTATATTGATCCAATCCTTGTGAAACAAACTATAATTCAGAATTTGTAAAAGTAGTGGAAGCAATGCAGGGGCCTAAGTTAGGTACGTACAATCCCTATGATGTATCCTAAATCATTTGATCAAACAATGCACATGCATCATTGGTAAATATGATAGCAATTTATAATACTTGTTTTATTTCATTGGTTCTCGCTGAACTTGGAAATATTTATCACAAATGACCTAACATTCAAGTTAAAGATGTAAGCAAAAAAAAAAACAAACAAATGTTCCCAGGATATCAATATTGCATAAGCATACTATAATATCTTTTTGATGTTTACAAAACAGATAATAAGAGAATGGTTATTTACCAAAGAAAGAAGTAAAGCTCATTTGGAAGCAACGTTTAGAAAAACCTAAAGTACTTTCCAAAATTCCAACTCAAAACTTATTTGGTCCAATATTTTTGGAAAATATAAAGTGATGTATTCAACTCTTCTTTTATTGTTTTTTAGTGCTTTCTCGTCTGTCTCTATAAGCTATTATTCCTATACAATCATAACTAGCTTTCTTCAGTTTTAGTGGACTTAAATTCTTATTATATTATAAAAAATATACTAAAGATAGAAAATGAATGAAAACAAAATAATCAAAATGAAAAGATTTCGAAATGAATACTTTAAAGTAAAATAACAGTAGAGCGTGGTTCTTAAAAGAATATTTAGAACATGGATTTTAGGAAACACATCCAGAAGGCTATGAAATTGAGACCTAGTACAACAATGTTAAAATAGAAATAGGTACGGGAAAAAACAAATGCTAGGATTGATGCAACTTGTCTGATGAAATGATGGAAAAAAGGTTAACCAAGAAGGAAAAAGACGAAGGAGAACCATCTTTAGGGGATTGGGGAAAAGGGCAAATAGTCAACTCTATCAACCAAAAGAATGAATGAAATAAAACGAGCATGAATGAAACACTCGTAGCAACAAAAGCCCTGGTCAGTAAACCTTATTAAGTTATGATGCTACGTCTATGTTCGTTCTTAGCCCTACATGTCACCTAGGGAGATGATAAAGGCTTGACTAAACACTTACCATGGCACCTCTCTTAAAACAGTTGCAGTCCTAGGAAAGAAACAATGGACATCAATGAGGCACACCTAGACACAAACGCCTACTCAAACTTACACTCTAAAGGTGCTATGTATAGGTTTTCCCACACAAGGCACCAAGTGAGATGATAAAGGCTAGCCTTCAACACTTGCATTGTGGCAAGCCTCTTAAAATGTTAGGTTGAAGGTGCCTGTGACCATAGACTTCAATTCAAAGAGAAGATATTCTATAACCCAAAGAAGCTTTAATGTTTGATTAACTTGAACAAGTATCAAGTTATCATAAGTGACCAAACTTGTCCTTGAAGATATCAAATCACTGTAGCAATGTCAACCTTTTTTTGCAGTAGTCTTCTAAATAAAGTTTCACAAAAGCCACTTTTAATGTCTAATTCTACAATCATTCTCCATTGATAAATTTGTCATTTCCTGTTAATTAAAAATCCCTAATTAGAAGCAAACACCATCCCAGTTCACAAATAAAGATAGCATCTACAAAAGCAAATCCCCCAGCAAAATACTTAGTCTCAAACACAATTAGCATCAACCTTAATTTCACAACTTAAAGCCAAAAGAAGTGAATGACAACTGACTTCGTAACTATCTTTTCTTTATCCAGTTAAGTATTGTTTGACGGAATCAATATCCATACCCAATCCATAACCTAACCTATGAGAGGTAAACAAACGCAGGTTAGGAACGAACTACAAGGAATAAGTCTTAAAAGGCAGAAGAAAAACCATAATAATCCAAAATTTATCAGGGAGACATATGCTTGACCAAGAAAAAGGAAAAGAAGAAACAAAAGAAATAAAGAAACGAAAAGAAACATCATCCGAGCAATGAGAAGCAAATAGAACTAAATCATCAGAACGCGAACTACCCAATCGACCATACCTATAGGCCTGAAGTTCGAAAAACGAATACGAAACACTGAAACACAGACGCAATGGTGGAAAACAGGAGAAAAGAAATGTAGAAGACCTTGAAATGGAGGGGAACGGCGGTGTTGGGAGCAATGCCTCTCTCGCCGGTGCAAAGAGCCCTGAAATTCTCGGCGGTTTTGGGAACGACGTCGTAATAGAGGTCGATGATGATTCTTCCCTCCAGTTCTCCGCCGATGCTGATGTCCAAGAAACACCTTGGCTTGGCCATGGCGGTCGCTCTCCTCTGGTTCAGCTTCTAGAGTGTTCTTCTTCGTCTCTCTTTTTTGGTTCTTCAAATTTTTTTTTTATTTTCCTTTTTCTTCTGTGCCTGTGCGTGCTTCAAAACAGAGTCTCTCCCGCTATTTATTTCCAAAATTTGTAACCACTCTCTCTCAAATTTTAATTCGCCACCTTCTTAAATTTATGGCGGAATTTAATCCTTTATTATATGGTTTTATTGTCACGCTTGTGAGAGATTATTGGGCGTGGCTTCCATAACTGGTTGACGATTTTATATATCCAAAAAAATACTATTTTCGTCCYTGTAATTTTTATTTTTATTTTTGTTGATTTTTATTGATGTATTTTTAAAATGTCTATTTTAATTTTTCTATTTTTATTTTTGGTTYTTTTGTTTTTTATATTTTTAGTTCATTTTGTGTACTTTAATTGTTGTTTTGATTCTTGTATTTCAAAAAGTGACTTTTTTCTTTTTGTTTTCCTTTTTATCTTATTATTTCGATCACAATTTAAACGGGATATTATMATCAATAAATTTCTTGATATGTAAATATACCTTCTATTTTGATAGAATTTGTATTTGATATTTTACAGATAAGGACTAAAGTCAGGGGCGGATGTACGAATGACCGAGGGGGCTCGAACTCCCCGAACTTTTAATAATGTATATTAATATATAAATGCATACATGTTTAGGAAATTCCYCACTGCTCTAGTGGTATCTGCGTGTTCCAGCCCCCCTCAMATTCCCCAGAACCGAAGTTCGAGTAATGAAACAAGGCTGAAAAATAAATATGAGTTTGGAGTTGCATGGAACAATTAGTAGGAGGGGCTTTTCGGGTAATAGCATGTTTAACCTAAATAATTGCAAAATTATCACATGATCTAATATTTTAGATACAAAACACAAATATAAGAGATCATATATGAGTGATGTGTTCATATTAGGTATATTAGTGATATATTTTATCACCCAAATGRTACATTATAACTTGGTGTATTTTATTAATGGTAGCACAATGGCAAGCAGGTGATATATAGAGAAAAATTGTCCATATTTGCACATTATTTTTATGTATAACAAATTTTCAAAATATGGCAACCAGCTACCCATTATAATTACTCGAAGATTAGCCATATAATTAATTGTAGAAGTAGTAGTGTAAATAATTTTTTTTTATAAATTAAATACTTATTGTTTTTTAGTTCAAATGAGAGTGTAATAAAATAATTGACCATAAAAATGGTATAGGTGTCTTTATTTTATTTACACAGTTATATTTGAATTAGTTAGTAATTCTTAAATTTTTAACATTTAAGATTGAATAGATATAAGTACGAAAATTAAATTTTATCATTTAACCAAAAAAATGAAAATAAATCTAAATTATGTAGTTAATTTGAGTAAATATTAACAATTAATTTAAGAAGTGGTAAGTCAAATCCCCCTCAATAGGTATAATGTAATATTATCAATAAAAGAAAAGAAAAAAGATAAAAATATTATTGTTGTTAGCCYAGGCATAATTCAAAGATTAAGATAGTAGTRACTTCATTTACAGGATGAAATTTCAAAAACTCAACCATGAATCGGAGAATTGACGTTTCCATATTATCACAAAAAAATTGATAAAATATTACTAATATAGACATAATTTTAATTTTAATTTATTTAAAAATATTTATTAATTTATATATTTGTATGGATTTTTCTTTTTTATAATAATTTTTCCATGGACATTTTGACAAAAGTGAGATGTCGACATTTTCTGTTAACATTAAAATTTTTAATGGAGATGCTTTCATACTTTTACTGTTATTTTACTAAAATAATTGCACTTTAATATTCAAGATTTTAGTGGAAGTTGTCAATGATTGTCATGTTGGTTTTTTTTTTCTTTTTTCTTTTTACCAAAATAAATGTCGAACAAAGAAAAATTAAAAATTGATATAAAAAATAATAATAAAATAAAAATTAATATTGAAATTAACTTCTTAAAAAATGATAGGATCGAATGAACTACCAATTAAAAGTATCTCCACAATGGTGTGATTTTCGCTTTTGGCATAGTCCTCACGGCTTTGTTTTTGGTTTCATCCAAAAGACCTCATCGAATGGAGATAATTGTCTTCTCTTATATACCCATGATCATTTCCTTCCCTAGTCAATATGGGACTTTGTTTGCAATCACCTTACAAACTCAACACAGACTRACCAAAACCGATTCGAATTAGTTAAATAAACTAAATTGGCCGACTATTTAAAAAAAATGAATTTCATTGTCTTAAAATATGATCACTATTCATAGTTAGTAATAATCATAATGTATATGTTTTTTATCCATAATGTTCGAAAGAGGAAAAAAAATCTTCAACACAACTCCAATGGTTACAAACTTGARAAATATTAGAATATTTTAAAGATGATTATTACGCATGTTAAACTAGAGACTCTTTAGGAACCGAGTCATGTTACCACACAATAAAATAAACTAAAGAGAAACTTAAAATGAAAATTCTAGTACTTAACCCAACTTGTCTTAAACAGTGAAAAGTTTGTGTACGTCAATATAGGTATTAAATTACAAACTTAGCTTCTAAAATTTAGATATTAAGATGATCTATTTAGTCTTAGAATTTCCATCCAACATATTTAACTAAATGATGACAAGACATGTATCTATCATAATGAATACTAACTTTACTTTATCTCATTACTATTCCTATTTAAGAAACATAATCAGAAGATCGACAAATATCAAAAGATGTACGATATTTTGTGCACGAGAACTCAAGATTCTAAAGAAAATAATATAAGTAGGTCTATAATTCCCTTTGGTTTATTTTTATGGAATGTCATGCCTAAATACAAAACCATAGGTTGATATGAATTTGGATAAACCCACTAACTTGTAGATATTGAAATAAATGGCAATAAGAATTGCAAATGGTTCCATCATCCAAAGCAAAACACATCATATTGCCACTTAAACTATGAACCATTGGCATAAAATTATTGACATCCCACTAATTAAACAACATGCAAGACTTTTTATTCTCTTGTTTTGATTGGTTTTCCTAGGTATAATTTGTCTTATTCCACGCTCTCAAGTTTATTTTATTTTATTTACTTCTATTTTAGTTCATGTTTATTCTATTTTGATTTTTCAACTTAAATTATTATTTATTATTCGAATAATTTTTTTTCTCTTTTTTGAATAAATTAAATTGCAAGGTGTGGTTGAAGTCTACCATCCATGAGAGGAGATACAAATGGTCTAATTACTTATAAGAGTGGGGTTTAAGCCTTACTACAGTTTTTTCTTTTTCCTTTGAGCTGTGTTAATGCCAGTAAAGATTAGATATCGGTTGTAGAGTTAGATGTTGAATTTCAAAATAAATTTGGATGGTTGTTATATGATTAATGAAAATTAATTATAAATACTAAAATAAATAATTTTTTCTTTTCAATTATTAGATAAAATAATTTTAGTACCAACAAAGAAAAGTGTTGGATATTTGAACTCCCGACTTTAAAGGAAATAGTAATGTCTTTGTCACAAAACATTAGTGTTGTCCTAAATAAAATAACTAAATATATATTTATGTAATATTTTCTTATGGGCTAAATTGATTCTACCTGGGAATTGTTTGATGACATCTTTGTTTCACACACACATGTATATTATTTCAATTTTGAGAAACATGTTCATTCAATAAATGTTTGTTGCTGTGCCATTTAAAATGAAAAAATATCCTCAAAAATTGGACACATTAATTATATGGTATCATATTTTCTATTTTTCTAATTTTCTTTAAAGACATTAATAAAATTAGTTTTTTAACTTATAAGATGCATATTAAATATACAAAATGATAGAATAATTTTGAATTTTTCACCTMAAAAGGTATATTTTAAGTAAAACTTTTACCTTTTAATTCAAAATTTTAGACAATATAAAAAAAACGAAATTACCAAACACTTGCAACAATTTCTTTTCCATAAAAATAGATAACAAGGGTGAAACTAGCAAATATATTTAAACRTGGAAAATGAAAAATAAGAAAAAAAATACTATGATGGTAACGTTTCCGTTTCTTATTTTTGTTTTGATAACAATAACAAGAAATAAGAAATTTACTTTTGTTGTTTCCAAACTTTCTATATAATTTTGAGAATGTTTTTAAAGAATAAGAAGCAAGAAACATAAATAATTAAAAAAAATAAATAAACTTAAGTTTCTTAATAAAATTAGAAACAAGAAACTAAAAACGAARACGTAATCAAACSGGCTTATAAAACCAACTTAAAAAATACTAAAAAAAATTAGCTTATAAAACCAACTTAAAAAATACTAAAAAAATTAGTTCAAATAGGGGGAAGAGTGTCCGACCTGCGAATTGTTTAATTAAGAAATGTGTTACYAATTACTTAACTAATTMATTAAATTATATTCAAACCATACAGTTGCTTTATGTTATTAAAAAAAAACTAACAACTATAATCAAAATGTAAATGGAGCTAACTCTTTCCAAATCATTATCCTTTTAAAATATGAAATTTTTTTAAGTACACTTTTAAAATATGAATTAGTGGAATTAATTAATTAATATTCATTGGTGACAAAACTCTGCCAGTAATTTTCAAGTTGGATGGCCAAAAGGGAAAGCTTTTGCAAAAATAAATTGGTGTGTGAGAAACTTATTAGGTGTAGATCACTATCATATATGCCTCCCAATTAATTTGAAGTATGATCAACATTCTATAAAGGGTTAATATTACTTTTTTTTCCTTTTTCAAATTTAAAATTGTAACTTGGGGTTGGCTTGTTAGGTTATAAGTACATAATATATATGTAATAAAAATATGTCATGAATTTAGCAACTATTTTTTTTAATGTTTTGTTTGTACAAAAATCTATTTCACAGACCTATTATGTATTCATGTTTTTTTTTTTTTATAAACTTTCCACCCAAAGTATTTCATCATTCAATTATAAAACAAGATCTAGTCCTAGACAGACAAGCTTAACTTTGACAACAAGTACCATGATAATGAAAATGACTCTTACTTTAATAAGATTATATGACCAAATACGTGAACCAAAAGATGTTATCGCTATGGGACCATGTACAATCACAGGAGGGATGTCCAGTACCAATTCATATAGTAATTTATACCTTTACTCTCATTTTAATTCATAGTTTGGACATATTGTTTCTACTTAAGTCCAAAATTTTCAAGTGGTCCCAATTATTTTAAAAATTGTGGTACGGATAAATATTGACTTACTTTAGACCACAGATAATTAAAATCGTGGTTTACAATCAAACTTTACACCACGATAAGAGAAAAATGTAGACTATAAATCAAATATTATCTCATTTAGACGACGGTAGTTAAAATCATGYTCTAAAATCCATTAAAACCACACACTAGCTAGTACTATGAGAAAACAAAAACAAACAATGGCTTTCCACAATTAAAAGAAAATTGTTATAAGACAATATAGCTTTAAGTTTTACTTCAAAATCTAAGTAAGCAAAAACAAGATTATTCAAGCCCCTCCAACTGCCGGTAAATTATGACCCTTCATCTCCGGCAGGATTGGCATTGCCACCGGAACACCATCTCCGGCAGCGGTTGGCAGCGGAAGCCTCAGCCGTGGAACGTCGACTCTGCCATCCAAACAAGAGGAGCATCTCTTCTCAATCCATCCTTCAATTTTATATTGGCCACTGCCCCATAAACGACGACCCGAGAATAGCCTCCCGATCATCCCGGCTATGGCGCCAMGGATGGCAATGACTGCGAGTACTGCAACAACAGGCCCGACCGATCCTTCATCACTACCACGGCTTACAGTGGCTTGTTGGGACATCACCACCGTAGGAGGTGGTTGTAGTTGGTCTGTCGCAATCGACATTTTCTCTCCAGAAAGGAACTTTTCACTGATAATAGATGAAAACAATGTGCTTAAAAGGAGAGAATTGGGTAGGAATATTTTGAGGCACAAGGCTCCAGATGTTGTCTTTTTTTWAAAAAAAAAGATAATTAAGTTTGGAGGATTTTCTTAGCCCATAGCATAAGTTTGGCTCAATCAATATTATTTTAAAATAATGACGTGTCACCTAATCATTGACCAAATTATTTTAGTTTTATCATAGTAAAGTGATCATGAAAAAATAGAATGTCTTTATTTCAATTACGGAGGTTGACCATGAAGTCTGAGAGTAACTTTAAATGAAGGGTTTAGAGCTTTTAGGAAATGTGAGTTTAAGAAAACYATGCAGTTTGAGACAACTCATCAAGCTTSATCAGTTGGATTTAGAAAGTTACCAAACGAACCCTATTAACTYACTCCAAACTCTACTCTCGTCCCAAACATGATTCCRAGACTTAGATTTCTCTTAAAACAATGGCGGTGTCCAAATTTATCAAGATAGATCTAATTTAAAAAGAATTTGAACTGATATATTTATTTTAAAAATGTGTGTATTTGAAACTATAAACTTTGAAAATAACAATAATAATAGGTTGCCAATCGGGTTCAACGAGTTAAGATAGAGTTCGAATCTCCACCYTCATATATTGTACTAAGAAAACAATAATAATAGGTTTTAAATGTTAATGCGCTGAAAGCGTCAATAAAAATATTGATAAATTGTCGATGTCGATTAATATTTTTAAAAAGATATAAAAAAATAAAAAATTCAAACAAATATTTAAATTAAAAAATATATTTCACATTTTTTTAAATAAGTTAAAAAACATTAATATTATAGTGATATTTTATTGATATTTTTATGTATATTTTGATAAAAAAAATTCAATACTATAGAAATATAATTTTATCCAGGTCGAACCTATAAATACAAGAAATTTAAGGTCCCAAAAGGCAAAAGCATCTCTTTTGCAGTTTTTTCCCTTTTCTTTTTTGGGTTTGTGCAAAGATAGGTTTTTGTTATTCTCCTTTTTGTCGGACCCCTTTTTGGATTTATCTGCAAAACCCCTGGATTTCCCACTTTTCAAAAAGCTCCCCTTTTTTTTTATTCAAGATAAGTGGAAACCAAAACAGCCCTAATTAATAATAAACAGATATTGGTATTTGGTGGCTCTATCTTCAAATACCTTTCTATTTTTTTGATTCATTGTTTTTAGAATTTCTTTTCTCTTTTTCTTTTCTTTTTTTGTGTAAAGGTTTTAAATTTTATTTTATTACAAAACATCACGTTCTTAATTATAAAAATAATCGAGCCCCTATTATCACCTCCACTACCAAGTCATAAGTGGAGAGAAAATTGCCTCGTTGGTTGTCTTAGGATTAAAAGATATATAATTTAAATTATCCACTCTAATTATTTTATCAGTCAGATTCAATAATATTTTAGTGGGTTCTGGTTGATCGTAAACTCTTCCACAACAGTTCTATATCCATAAAGTAAGGATTTGAATATCTTACATCAAATGAATGAAGTGCATGATAGAAACTGATCGAACCAGTCATGTTTGAAGTAGTAATAAATGTCTTATCCAATAAAATATACTCGAATGAGTAATGAACAAATACTATTCATCCTCCAATATGATCACAMAAATTTATTATTTTTTTTCTCAACATTTTTTTCCCTTTCAAAAGTCCAATAAACATCATACTATTTTTAAAACTTCAACTTGTATGAAAATCTATTTTAATTTTTGCACTCGAAGTTAATTCAATTTTTAGAAACTAGGGATCCATTTGATAACGTTCTCATTTCTTACTTCTGGTTTTCAATTTTATTGAGAARTATAAGTATTTGTTGATTTTCATAGTTTCTCATTTTTTAAAAACATTATCAAAATTGTACAGAAATTTTGAAACAACAAAAAAAAATTTCTTATTTCTAGTTCCTGTTTTATATATGTTCTAAAAGACAATAAATAAAGTATAATTTTATGGTTCTTAAATTTATGGAAGTTGAGGCCATACAATTTTATTTTTCTTCATTAAAAAGAAGAAAGTACGAACGAGAACATTGTCATACTGACCCTACTGTTACATATTCCCAACATTTCACGAAGAGTTAATCTACATAGTTTAATACATCTATATCTTTCCATTATAGGTCGGGGTTCAAATCTGTCATCCAAAAAAAGAAAAACAAAAAACTTAGATCACTAATCCCCAATCCAACACACAAAACCCTAAGAAAAACTAAYTAATTAGACAAATTTTGGCATTCAGTAGCCATCATCATTAACAGCGCCACACACCCTTCGAATCTGGCCACTGCGCCCACTCAGAACCCCAACCAGGCTCATCCTGGTCATGGACTCTGCAAAATCATCGAAGAACAGGTTCGGGTCGAAGCTGTAGGCTCGGACCAGGCGCACCGTATCCGGGTCCGCCATCAGGCCCTGGTCCGATTCCAGCAGCCCCACGCCGCTCATCAGATTGGTGTAGTACTCGTTGTCGAATCTGTCGACAGTGGCCACGTCCAGTGGCGCCAGAATCCCGTTCGTCGCGTCGTTTCTGCTGGTGCACATGTTCTGCAGATCCGCCAGCATCACGGTGTTTATGTCCGGGTCGGGTCGCCCCGACCCCTTGTAGTTGAACAGCCGCTTCTTGAATGTCACGCACCGGGCGAACCCGATGGTGTGGGCTCCTGCGCTCAAGGTGTTCGATGAAATGCTTAGGTGAAGGAAAAAAGGAAAAAAATACTTGTCTACCCATCGATCGGAGTTTACTACTAACCCGAAAGCACGACGAGGTCCTTTATGTCGAGGCCCTTTGAAGTGAACTTGGCAGTGTTGTTCTCGAGAGATGCGCCCGGGGACGGGAGCTGCTCGATGACTGACTTCATGCTTGCGGTTATGCCATCTCTACGTCCCAGTGGAAGGTTCCAATATGGTCCTCCGACCTAATTCGTGGGATCAAATAATATACTCTTATTACTCTATTACTTACGACATGTGAGGGTGAGAATTCGAACTCGCGATCTCTTCGTCAGATGTCTTAAYCCATTGAACTCTATTCAATTTCGCCAGCCAGTRCTCCGGAACTTAGTTAGGTGAAATATAATTTACTTTATTGTTTATATATTAAATTAATGTGGACTTTAGCTTACAAGTTTGTATTCGTTTGTGTTGGAACTTGAAAGTATGTGTTTGCTCGATTTTATTTTATTTTTAAAATTTTTTTCCTGTTTCATTTACAAAGTAGTTATTGAAAAAGTGTTTCACCAAATTAATGTAGCATTTTTAAATATTATTCCAATGCAAGAATTAAAAAAAAAAAGGTTGCTAAGTAGCAAAAGTATTATAAAGGGGAAGTTTACCAGATACACAGCTTCTCTAGCTGCAAGACCCAATATATCAACACAAGAAACAGTTTCTGGACAATTTGCTTCTACGTCTGCTTTTATAGCGTCTATCAATTCAAACCCTCGAAGCGATTTTACGTTGCCAGGCGCGTTCTTCTCGCCTTTCATGTCTTTGGTATCGTCAAGCAACACCGAYGCATCACATCCCTAACAAAACGCGATACAAGAAATAATGATTTCAAGTACGTACACAATAATAATATTGGATGTGTATCATGCATGTTTTAGAATGAAATCCATAAAACAACAACAAACAGATCATCAAAATCAACMACTATATATATGTGTGAATGGACTATACATCTACGATACAATCATGGAATTGCAATCGAAGCAACGACGCAGCAATTCTTGAGTCGTTCTGGACGGCTGCCCATACGCGGTACCGAATTATCATCGGCAGGCGAGGGCACGACTCGTCGTAAAAGTCGGGATAAAGATTTGGATAGTAAGGGGCAGAGAGGGCTGGAGTTAAGAAGAAGAAGGGAAGAATTAGGAAGAGAGAGGAGAGAATATTAATGGGAGTGAGAGTTTTGGGAGGCATTTTGGATTTGCTTTGGCTTTGAGTTGATAAATGTGTAGCCCGTTCATGGTTTGCTTTTATAGGCAATGAAAGTTAGATTCAAAACTAAACTTTGGGTGAGGTTGTATGTTGGCCTCCCACTAATTGTTTAGGAATAAAATAGTGTAGAAAAATACTTGGTTGCTAATGAGTTAAGTCAATATACTTATATATATCCCGTAGAAAATTGACGGTCCTAATTCAATTGTCTGAAAAATATTAAAAAATAAAATAAAATTTAGATGTTTACTGATAAGTAAGTATCTCCTACCTACCTTCTTAAAAAATTATCAGTTAAAAGAGATGAATGCATAACAGAGAAGAGAGAAACTAAAATAAATAGCTGTCAATTTTTTTTTAATTTATGTAATTATGGTAAGTATGAAATACCTACTACAAGAGGTTTTCTTTTTATATTTCTCTCTTACATGTCAAAATTTTAATGGTATTAGACTGTGCCAATTAATACACACTTAAGTATTTTTCAATAGTTAATAGCATAGAAATAAAAATAATCATAATTATTAACATGATAACAATAATAATTATTAACATATCCTTTCACTTTGACTTATTTTATTTGTTGATTATTGAGTAAATGCGCTAGGCATTTTGATTTGGAAAAAACTTGCGTGATGTGCCTGCCAATGAGAAAGTAAGATATTTTAACTTATTTTAATATCATAGTGAACTTTATATAGTTTCTCTTTTTTCTTTTTCTTTTTTAATTTTTCTTTATTAATATAAATGGTGTGTTTTACTAAATGGAAATTCAAACCACAACTTTTAGAGTGATAATGAATATCTTGTTTACTATGTTCAAATTGACATCTCGTGTATTAGTTATATTGTCTATATCATTTTTAACTTTTAACTTTTTATTAATAAGATAAATTTTAAAAATTTAATCGGTAAGAATTAAATTATCAACCATTAAAACTTAAAACTTAAAAGAGTGTTTGTAGGAGTAAAAGTTAAATATTTTTTTTTTCTAAAACAATAATTATTTGTTTTTTTTTCTGTTTTTCTTTCCATTTTTAAAAGTACCTTTTAACATGTGGTCAATTAATACGAAAAATTTGAAAATATTTTTAATTAATACAAATATTGAAAATGTATTTGTAAGGCTTAGTATATTTGGAAAATGCTTTTAAAAGTAGTATTACTTAATGAAATATGTCTTACAAAAAAAACTTATGAAATATAAAACTGCTTCTAAATGGTTTCAATTAATTAGGAAGTTTAAAAAAATGACTTAAAAAGCATCATAAATACGAGAGGGAGATTGAGACTCATGATATAGACTTAAGATTAACATAACTACTAAGTTGTGGATTCCAAATTCTAACTTTCCACTGCTCGAGATCTGGTAGCATACAACAACTCACCGCGTCGTGCATTTCGTGGCATTGTCCTTCGTCCCGCTTCGATCGAAGAGTGTGATCCGACAGAAAAATCGGAGTTATTTCACAAAGACTTGTCATGGCAAGAAAGAAAGGAGAACAAATGCTTGATACAGAAGAATAAAAAAGAAAAAAAAAATTCTTTTTTATTCATTGACAGATTGATTATTAGAGAATTCAAGTATTTTATACGTCATTAGTCCGATCATTTGTAGGAACTACATGTAATAACAAACTTGCAAAATGAATCCTCACAGTTTTTTGCTTCTTCTTTCATTTTCATTTCAAAATCTGGCTCGCGCTCCCGGCTACGTGTCTCTGGATCCTTTGCGCTTAGAAGTGGATTCGAACTACCAATGCACTAGAACACCCTTGTTGACGATCCTTTATCTCCAACAACATATAGGGAACTCCTCTGTTTTTAGCTTGACGAGATACTTGAATTTCGAAGTGCTTTATCAAATGATGCATGTGGGCTGAGCGATCAATTCATTTTTCAAAGCCTTTGAAGAATGTTGGTATGGACATGGAGTCTTGTAGTATACTTACATGGTTTTGTATTCGAGTCCTGCGCTGATTGTTGAGTCGAAGCAACGAGTCCAAGTTATAGGAATCCACTAACGTAAGCCACACGATATCGATCCAAAAAAATTTGGTAGAAGGAAAAAAAAAACTCTAATACAATAAAAGAAATTATTTTTAATTAATTAGTCAAACCTAACTAAAATTAAAATAATCTTAGATATAATGTGTGAAACATCATACGGCTAAAAATGGTGGCACTTTGGCAACATTAAACTATAGTTTATAATAAATATCATATTAAATTAAAAATAAGGCACATAAATAATCCTAATATAAATATTTATGGTGCTTAATTAACTTTTCTCGAGGCACGTCACATTCCCACACTCAAGAATAAAATAAATCATTGTACCTTCGTGCATGAATCAACCTCCTTCACAAGTTTTATATAATTAATTAATTACTTTAGGTTTTTTTTTTTATTTTTTTTTTTTTCTTTTCTCTCTTTTATTTTCAAACAAAGTTTAGAAACAAAGTTTGTATTTTAAAATGGAAGCTTAGTTTACATCTCAAGTGTTTCCATAGNCTGTGAGTGTGACTATTTATGCACATGTTTCAATTATTATAATATATGTAATTATTTTACCGATCAATTTGAACATATATCTAAGTGGATAAACTACCTATTATCATATCAAAATTAATGGCCTGAATAATCTCCATCCTAATAATTGATGAATTAAAAAAATAAATATTTTATATAGTATTTATTAATTTTCTCAATTATTTATTGATTTATTATTATTATTAGAATTGATTCAAATATATCAAATTGTAACCCTACCAAACTTTGAGGCCCATCCCTATTTTTTCTTCATCTAAAATTTTAATTTTTAGAACTTATGTCGGGGGAATTACAAATAACAGAGGTAAATGGAGTAAATATCGAAAAACAAACACATAATCAATTAGGTTGAGGCCCGCGTATCTCGCTCTTTTAAGGAGATTCAAGCCCTCTACGGTGTGTTTTTCTTTATCAACCACCAGTTCAGCAGGTATTCTTTAACATGTCTCCTCGAAGATACAACAACTCAACTCAAATGTTGCTTAGCTCAAACTACCCTACAAGTAGAGGTTAAGCTCAAAGCTCTACAACGGAGAACATCCATTTTTTGGCCAATTGCTCCTAAAAGAGCAAAGTAGAGAAATAACAAATATAGAAGATATGTTAAATGAGTTGTCTTTTGAGAGTTTAGGAAGAGAGGTATTTATAATAAACTTGCTAACTTAATAGAAAATTTAATAAGTTTCTTTTAACTTCTTTTAAAATACGTTTTACAAAATTTGATAAAACCTCTCCATCCTTAAACTCTCAAATTAAATGAAAAGAAACTCATATTTAAATAAATATTAAAATGTAACAACACATTCTAATGTGTCTCACGAAGAAATTTAGGAGAAATTTATTTTATTTTTGTATTGAGTACGAAGATTAATTTTAATTGTGTTGAGAAGTAAAATATGGTTAATTTTTTGAAGTTCATTTTAGACAATTTATGACATAGAAACAAGTATATAAGCTCCCATACTTTCGTTGTTAATATTTATAATGTAATGTTATGAATAATTGTGGATCTAGTTCTCTGTGGAAAAGTATATATTTGAAAGACATCGACCCTAAAAAAAATGGACAAAATGTATGATATATATTTTGGTCATAATATCTTTTAATGTTGTTGAGAATATCACTTTTAGCGATGCTATCTTTTAACGATGTTGTGAGAATAAATTTTTAGCTACACTAAAATAAAGATGATACAACTAGCTTTGCGTTCCCTCTAATTAATTTAGCTACGCTAATTTGTCTCTAGTCGTTTAGTCTATATCTACAAATATATACGGTTTTTGCTAAAATAGAAAAAATACAAGATATTCTACGACGACAACTTTTAATGTTGTAGATAATTAAATTTAGAGGCATATATAAAATTGTTCTCACAGAGATGATGCAACTAAGAGTTATGGAAGAAAATAAGAAAATAAATCAAACATATTTTTTAATTGTGGCACATTCTTGTTAAGTTGAGCAAAATTTATAAATCACTCTTAGAAAAAAAGAATACCCAAATTGAGATTTTTTATACAAGATAATTATTTGTAATGCCCTATTTAAAAAAAGAGAGTACAATATATATTACACTTAATTGTCAAATAAAAAACAAAAAAAAGATGGTGACAAAAATTTCTATAATGGTCAAATTTTATAGCCCAAAATATATGTTAACAAAAAATAAATATCATAGTGGGGGCAACATTATCATAAAAGGAGATTGCATCTTCCACAAGCAAGTAGAGTGGAAGATTAAACTAGTGATTGAATCTTCATTTCTTTTTAGTCATGTACTTATAGTAAGTTTAAAATGACTTTAATAGAGCCCCTTAGAAAAATTGGTGTCACTTTTTTTTTTTTTAGTATTTTTAAATGTTTTAAAAATTTTCAAAATCATCGCATACCGTTGTAAAAAGATTTTAAATTATTTTGAATTGACTAAAAATACTTTTTACTGTTTCAAAAGTCACGTCAAACATATCGTCTTTCATATTATAATATCAAAATGAAGATGAAAAAAAGGAATAAAATATAAAATGAAGATACTATTAGTTGCCACTTTTTTTAGTACACTTAGTTGCCACTTTATCATATGTGTATGTGTCATCCACCTATCTTTACATTATTAATTTGTTTAATTTCCATGAGATAACATCCACTTCAATAAGTATCTTAATTACGTCAAAACAAATATAGTTCAACTAATTAAGATACCTATACTCGATTAAAAAGTCGTTAGTTCGAATCTACACCCTATATACTGTACTAAAGAAACAAGTATCTAAATTACTACTATTTTTGGGCACAACATATCAAAATTTTGACATTTTTCGAAATGGAAGGTTCGATGGGATAGGAAGGAGTTGTGATATATTTTTTTCTCAAAATATCGTGATAGTGTAGATGAGATATTGAAAAATATTAGAAATTTCGATGATTTTATGGATTCATACGAATATAAATATTAATGAGGATGATTTATAACTTTATTTAAAAGAAGTGATAAGTTTTTTATTTATTAATTCAAATTATTTATTGTTTTACTTTTTGAGATTTTGTGGTCCTTTTTAATTTTTAAGAATTGACATCAACATTTTATTTAATTATATTTTATTTGAAATTTTTTATAAATGTGAAAGTTGAATAATATAATCATGATCTCAAATATTATTATTATTATTATTATTATTATTATTATTATTATTATTATTATTATTATTATTATTTTGAACGGTATATCAAACATTATTTTACTTTCCGCTTGTTTGTATTTTGAAAAATATGAATATTACTTTCAAAAGTAGATGGATGGGTAAATGAGTAAACAAAGATTTATTTAGAAATAAGTTCAAAGTAAAAATTAAACTATCAAATTGACTATAGGGTTAAGAATTTTTTTTGTTTTTTGGTCATGCAATATTTTAAAGAAAAAATTAAGCATCCATTGGATAATCATTTTATTTATTTTATTTTTTTAAAATTAAATTTATAAACACCAGATGTGTTTCCTTGTGAAATCTAATTTTTAAATTAAAAAAAATTAATTTATTTTTGTTTTTAAAATTTGACTAAGAAATATGCCAAAAAATGGTGAGCAACAAGCTATTATTTGTAAAAACAGAAAACAAAAAACAAAATAGTCATGAAATAAAACCTCAAAAACCAAAAACAGTAGCTTAAAAAAAATCTACTTATGTTTTGATTAAGTATATTTAAATAGTGAGGTAGTAAATACAAGAAAAAAATCAGTAAATAAATTTATATTTCAAAAATAGAAAATTAAAAATTAAAAATAGAATAGCTAGGTAATATAAATGATTTAAAAAACAATACCAAATATAAGTGATCACGTTACTTTATTTATTAGTTGAACTTATAAACATTATTTCCACCCATTTATTTATTCGAGAATTTAAAAATTAAAAGAAGTAATATTTAAAAGTTTGTTATATTTTCTAAATTGGATTAAAAATTCAAATTTATCATGAAGTTAATCAAATTCGAGTCTGCGGGGTTGTATCGAAGTACTTAACACTCCGACGCTCTAGTCAAAATATAGTTCGATCTATATTCAAGAGAGAATATATTTCGCGTACCTTAGAAAAGGTGGGACACTCAATCAATTAGAAAATGAAATTCTTATGGATGAACGCAAGATTATAAATTATTCGGTGGTTCATTCCGTGGATACGTTGAAAGTTATAGTCAGTTTTTGTCAAACATAGACGGCGGTGGTGTTTCATCACACTCAAGACTCCATACATCAAAATCAAAGCACCATGCCATAATATTTTATATAATTATTTATAAACAAATAACACTATTAGTGCTTAATCCATAATTTCCATGGAGAGAGATGTTATTTACTTATTTGGGAGTGGGAATGACCAATGTGGCTTTGTCCTCTGACTAACAAGTAAGAAACTGAATCAACCCAACTCAAATTGTGTAGCTTTGATTTGTTTGATCGTATTGATTTGGTTCTAATCGAATGGATACGTACATGTAAACCAATTTACTCCTATTCTCATTGTAATGAGTCAAAAATGGTAAGTCGATTCAATCCGGTTTTTGACTGATTCAACCTCAAATAACCCAAGGACAACTACCTCATATAAAGTGAGAGACTTCAGCCATATTTTCATTCAAACTACAAGATCAATAGTAGTACTTGAATGTTGACTAACCGCTCAAATCTTCAAGTTACTAATGTTATCAAACTAATTCGTGAAAATAATATTTTTGTTGAGTTTTTCAAATTCTCTTTGATATTAGCTTTTAGTTTGTGTAATGTCACTTTTATATCCAAAAGCTTAAATTTGAACCCAATTCAATTGTCTTCAACATTTTTTTGTTAAGAGATTAGGTCATTTTGGTCATGCAAATGTGAAGTACTTCAAAGGTAATTTTGTCTTTTACCTTGGAATTGGCTCACTGGTTGGCATTATTTAGTGGAATTTTTTTTCCATAATATCCACTTTAAACCTACTCACACTAAAACAAAAAGGGCTCTTTGAAAATTATCTATATATAGTTAGTGAGTGACCTTTAGGACCACAACCGACCACAGATATTATATACATAAAATTTCATGGATGGTTTCTTAGATTTTTCTATTGAAATCAAATTCTAATGCCGTCTTAAATACGTCGTTAGAGTGAAAATTTGAACTTTACGACCTCAAAAAAACTAATAGGTATTTTAATGACTGAATTGTGTTCATGTTAGCCTCTAAAATCTCTTTAATTCACTGAAAAACAAATTAAAATTCTGATATGAAAATACTAACGAATTGGAGTTATGAAGGTATATGAACCCTAATTCACAAATACTAACATCCCCAAAATCAATTTACCACAATTTAAAAGAAGATTAGATGAAGGTTACCTTGTTGATCGAAGACCACGAGGCAAGGAGAACTAGTTCCCTACTCGATATTGAACACTCCACAAGAGACAACCTAGATCAAGAATTGCAAAAATTCAAGCGCTAGAAAGGAACGACTCAAAGGTTCAAATTTTATATGGCTTATTTGATAAAAATAACCTAGGTGGCATCAAATACTAAAATCCTAATTTATTTTGATAAAAATAAATAAATAAATAAAATAACTAACTAAAAATAATTAAATAAGTATTAAGGCTAACACTTTGACCCAGCAAATAAAGAAATTAAGGCCTAGGCCTAATTGAAATTAACATCTTCTATCAAGTTTGATGGAGGCTTACTAGAAAAGTTAATAAATACAAATCTATCAAGAGATTACTAGAAAAGTTTGAAGTTTTGAAAGCCTAAATGAAGATAGTACAAAAGATAGGATATAGAAATCAGGGTTTATATATATAATAAATTTGTATTTGGTTTATAGTTTATGATTATAAAAGTTCAGCACAAAAGAAAAAGGCTCTCATAAGCAAAAAGTTGAGGAGGTTCAAAAGCTAAGTTAAAGGATTTAGAATGAGTATCTCGATCAAAAAGTCACAGATTTGAATCTTTATCCACGTGTTAAATTAAAATAAAAAATCTACGCATTCTTAAGGGGTGTGAAACTAATAACCATCTCAGTTGCCTCTATTGGAATTTGGTCACATTCTCAACACAAACATTTTTCTCTAACTTAATGGCCTATATTATCTAATATTTGGCTCAAGTCTTGCAAATTCTACAGGTTATGATAATATTGCTGACTGCAAGACACTTTGAAAGATGAAAGCTAGAAAAACAATTGGAGTTGCTAAAAGAATGAATGATGGCTAGCCACATTATACAGAAACCGAAACCCTATTAAACATCTCCATTATTATCAAAAATGTAGCAGCAAAAATGTCATAGTTTCACCCTACTCAACAAATCAAAGACAGATTTCCCTACATTCTTCTATCATTCCACAAGCCTATTGAATACAGGTTTCGAGCTTAATGGCTTGCCTCGTCCCATGGTGAAACCTTTCGTCCCATCGGGCATTCTCGGACTCTTTGAAGTGAGTTTTGTAGATGCTTCACACACAACCTGGCTACTCGCTTGCACCTGTGTAACAGGCACGCTACGATCGCTATGGCTATGAATCCGTCCACGGCCTTTCCCTCGTCCTCGACCCCAGCCCTTCTTAGATGCTGTGGAGTTCTCCTCAGACTACCAAAAACATATGTTTCATGTCATTTGGGTCATTGCAAATCTCTATTGATCAAATAATACATCAAACAAGGAGGACAGAGTTTTTGTAGAAATATGTACATTGCAATCGACAATCAGTTCAGTGATATTTGACAGAGAGGGCTCTTCAATGGACACAGGAGATGGTGAATCATCTTCATCCAGAATGCTATCAAATTCCGATTTTCGAGTCTTCAGAACAGATTTCGGCTATCCCCATTTTTGCATTCAGAAAGAAACAGTAATTAGAGCTGTACTAGAAACTGCAGGCAGGAGTAAACAAAACTCTAGCCTTCCCATCTTATTACACTCACCGAGCGTCTAAGCAATAACCTTACTCGGAGCCCTTTCCTCCAGTTTCTCTCGTCGTTTAACTTCTCAGCCTAGCAGGCACAAAAAGAAGAGGGAGGGACACAATAAACAGATTGAAATACAAGCAACTCAATCGGTTACCACTTAACAGTATATAACATACCGCTCTTTCAGCTAACTCTACGGTCTCGTATTCGACAAGTGCATGAAGCTTCAAAAGAAATGAAGTAACAATGAGAAAATGTATTTGAGGAATGAAGATAGGTGTATTGGTTATACAATGAAGTAAAGCATGATTCTTAATACCTTGTTACTGATAAACAATTCACCTTTAGAGCAGCAGGGATTAGATTCCGGGGGATGGCAGATTCGGATGGTTTTCACGCTGGTCAGATTACACCAATGAATGGTGCTCAGTCAAGACAATTTAACATCTAATCGAAGAAGAATACAACAGAGCGACAACAATGCCAATGGGAAACTACCTTCCAATTACACTAAATATTTTCTCGAGGTTGTGATGCGAGTGATTGTCGGGCAAGTTCTCAACAACAACCGTGCGCGACTGCAAGATCAAGAACAAAAGGTTACTCCCTGCTCAGCTACAGAGAACTACTCTGCATCATTCATACAATGTAGGATCTTACCAGCAATTCCTCTTTGTCCTTGTCTGTGAACGGATGCTTACGCCTAACTTTCTTCCCATCAGAACTGACAACCTTCAGAAGATCAGATATAAGTTTCGAAAGATCAAAAAGATAAAATACAATGATTATTCTAATCTTTCCAGCAAGAGTAGAAAATGAAGAGCTCTATTTAGGAACTTACAAGCCTTGAAGAGGAGCGGAGTGCTTGAACTATCAAATTGTTGTTGGTTGATAGAGACTTTACTTTTTTGGTGGACGAAATAACAGAAATAGGAACTTCATAAAGGGAGATGAAAAAAAACCAAAGAAAAAAAGAATTCAGTTAAAAGCATAACGAAAACTTGAATCCAGCCAAATACTGTATTCGAGAGGCCATACCATAACCATCAGGATCTTTACTAATGTGTTTTGCAAGAGATTCATTTGCAAGAAGACTCATGTCACTGAACTGGTATTCTACCTGTAAAATTGAAATCGTCAATAAGATGCTGAAAGTTCTCATGGAAAAGGCTAACATTTTCTCACTGCACTCTAGACATCTCCATTGAAATTCCAATATGTCCATGGTTTGACATCGACATAAGAGAAGAACCAATATAAAAATATCTACTGTGAACCTAATATTAATAACAAGAATTTTCAAAGGTAAAATGATTATTTGTTAATCTAAATATTTTTTTATAAATATCTCAAGTTGGATGATCTTTCCAAAAATATTCATTCCATAGCGGAGGAAGGAAGTTCCCCAGTTTAGTCCTTCATAGGTTAAAACAAGTAAAAGATTTTGAAGTTCTCTCCAAATTTTCAGAATGGTAAGAATTTGCCCGCCCTATTACAATTCAAAGTGTGAAAACACAAAGTTGAAAAAGGGAGTGTACCTTATAGACATGCTTGATAGTTTAGAATTGACTATCAAATACTAATGCAATATAGCATAAACTAATTATGAACACAACTAGAAGGTTGCCAATGAGGGGGTACTGTACACTGGATGAGAGTTCCAAAATTTTTTAATATATTGACAAGAACAGCAAGAAAATTCAATAATAATCCCCCAAGAATGTCTATTGTCTATAATGATTCTAATACTTCAACGAACACGACAATCTGAGTTTGGCGATTGATCACTCAGAAGAACATACGATGATTTATCAGAAACCAACGAAGGAAAGACGGAATCAGATAATGTAATACAACAGAAAGAGAGATCAAAAGGGAAGCAAGAACAGAACAGAACAGAGTACCTGTTTGACGATTTTTTGTTGAATATCATCAGAACGGACATTCTTAGAGAAATTGGGGAGCGGAATGGTGGCATTGGGGATCAAGTACGCGGGTTCTTGATCCCCAATAAAGAACCAATCGGAAGTAGCAGGAGCCCCACCAAGAAAATGGAAATAGGGGTGAAAATAGCCCGTAACGGGCACCTGGGTCTGCGACCTAGGGAAGAACTCGGGCGCTTGGGCGTTGAATTTGAAGGGCAAATTACCGCTACTGTTACTACCCCCATCGCCATCGCCATCGCCATTGCCATTGCCATTAACAGCTTCCTTGGTCTCCATCTCCGGAGTCTCACTCACCTTCTCTTCCGAATTCGCTTGGGCCATTCCCTTTTGTTGCGAATCTAGAATTGGGTTCGATTTGGGGATGTGGGTTATTGAAATCCGAGTGTCTCTGAATGTGGGTGTGATTCGATTTGGCCTGAAGTTTAGTAACTGAAGTGGGGAATTCAAGGCACGTTTGGCGCCCAAATATAAGCATGTTATCGCGCGATTGGAATGGCGGTAGGATTTTGTGAGAGAGGAACCGTTGGTTTTGGTTTTGGTTTTGGGGTTTGACTGAGGATTTCAAGGTGGGAATTTGGCCCAAGTGGCCGTTCATGCCTCCTTCTCTCCTTCAAACACTGCCTTTCTTCGCTCTTCGTCAACATGTGGCTCAAAAATTCCTCCTTTTTATTCATTCATTATCATTAACAAGAATATTTCGATGGGCAAACTAATGCTTTGTCTTTTTTTTTTCCCATCTTTTTTGGTGGATTGTAATATTTTAAAAAGAATTTTATGTTTATAATTGGTACGATACTATATAACTTCCTCGTGTTAGCATGAGAGTTGTTATTCATGTGGTTGCCACATGTTAAATTTAAATTATGATGTATTTGAAAATGATGGTAGAATTATTAATTTTCAAAAAAAAAATTGAAGTATGATTGATTTTTCAAAATCATCGTGTAACCGATATCTTAAATATTTTTTAAATTTGTGATGATCAACAAAAAGAGAAGCGACAGTGATAATGACAAAAGTGATTTCTGTCACGTCAAAATCACTTCTAAACACATAGGYATTAAAGGTATAAGTTGAAATTGTTAAAATAATCRATGAAAATAACTACTTGATTTGCTATGTGATTTTACATAATGCAACTTGAAATTGAGAAAATATAATTGGATAAACCAACCATTATTGGTTTCTTAAACTATAAAATCAAAAAATTGTGAATGGGTTAGGTTCGGATTTATTTTGCTAGTTAGTTTCACCTTGACTAATTTTGTTGGTTGGATTTTCAAATAGAACTCATGACCTTCGGGTCAGAGATAGGTGCCTAGTTTGGCACTTCATGAGTATCTTATTGGGTTGATTACACAGCATGAGAATTGTTATCACATGACTTCTCCATAATATCTTAAATAAGAATCTCTTTAGTGTACATGTCAGAACTAAAAAAATGTAAATTTGAGTATAATTTAACTGAYTAAGGTACATCAAAAAGTGAAATAAGTCAAAAATTAAAAAAAAAAAATCATCTTCTTATTTGAAAAATATTAATTGATTTGAAGAAAAATCGTATATTTTTTTAGTTCAGATTGCTCTCGATCAATTTTGTTAATTAGGTTTTAAAAAATATGCTAAATCTATAATAATGTGGGAATGGAGGGCGCATTTGGTGATTTGAAAAAAAAAAAAGAATTCAATGAAAAACAATGTTACACTTCATGTTTTTGAGTAGCAGATTTGGATAAATTCAATCTCAATTTAAAAATTTGCTAAGTGATATATTTGTAAATGACTACTAAAATTTTTAGTTGTATCGAAAATATTATTAAAAAATTTATTAACATGTATATCATAATTTTATATAATTATTATTTTATAATATTATATAATTTATAATATTTTATATTTTTAACTTTAAAAAATTGAAATAAATTTATAATATATTTATCCAAGTTTTTTAAATGTATTTTACGATTTGAAAACACTACAAACATCAAAACCTTCTTTTTAGAATTGGATCATGGAATCCAAACACAAATTTGTCAATAGATTTAGTGAATCTAAAAACAATAAAACATAATTCAGATTACAACGAAAGATGTTTTTTTTTTCAATTAATGAGTAGTTTATTAATCAAATAGTGTAATTTGGTTGATTAAATATTTAAATTCTAAATTGATAAGATAAAAAGGGAATCTAAACATAAATAGACCATTTTTGCAAAAAAAAATATATATAATTATAATAATAATAATTACAATATTTTTTTGTCCAGTGTCCAGCGGTCAATTCTCCACATTTTGGTACTGCATCATTTTACATTTTTTCTTTTTGTATTAATCACCAAAATCTCAACTATTTAAATCTTCAATATTTGTTACAGATAATAAAGTGATGACCAAAAATTAGTCCTTAGGTGCTTGAATTAGAATCTCAACGAAAATCTTATCTTTAATGTTTGTTTAAATTTCAAAATAGTAAAAAACTATCCTTTTTATCCTTAACCACAATTCTTTTTTTTTTTTATTTACATTTTCAAATAGAACTTCTKCATATGGTAAAGTAGAATGAGGAAATTTATAAAATTTAACTTTAGGAAAAACCAATGTTAATAACAGATGCACTCAATTTTTAAATATAGTAAATAGATTATATTTCTCATTACTTTATATTTTTGGCTATTTATATGATTTTTTTTAATTTCTCAATCTATAAATGCTTCCAACAATATAGGAGAAAATGGAAGTTTAGGTAGTCATGGACTCTCAAAAGCCCAATCAATTAGTAGGCCCAAGCCCATTGAAGTCACTACTATGTTCATGGTAGATAACTTGGATATCTCAATTTTTTTGAGTACAACATGTGGGAGAAGATATAGGTCAATTATCGTTGAGCTATGCTCGCTTTGRGAGATATCYCAAGTTCAAAAGTCATATAATTAACAGTACCATGAGTTCTATGAAGCATCAAAAGGTTGTAATATAATCGTATATTTATTGTAAAACTTAAACAAAACTCAATAATTAAGATATTAATAACCTCCTTTATAATGYTACTATCTAAGAAGTCGATAAAGAGTACATTCTCTGYCTCAACTCGTTTGTTTCGCGATCCTAATTTTTTAAATTATGTACAAAAATTTGGAAGGAAACTTAAAAATTGACTAGAGAATTAAATAAGAAATAGGACTTGGATAGTAGGTTGGATATCACTCGTCCAATCTTTTGATCGATAATATATGTTTTAACTAGTTGAATTAAACTTAAATTTGTAGAATATACACATACAAGTTTAAGCGGTTTTTTTTTTTCTTCAAAATTTTATTTTCAGAAAAATGGAATTGAATTTTGAAACAACTCTTTTGGTTTACTCCTAACTATTGAGTTTTTTTTTTCTCTTTTTTTTTATGTACTTCATCATGACTTTTCAGTCCTTTTAGGAAAAAAATGTCTTTTCATTAAAAGTATTTTCCTTTTTATTAAAATTAACCAAAATTTCTTATATTGCTAAATTTAAAGTTGGTATGGTGGTGTATGTTAAAAAGAATATGAAAATTGTATTATTAACTTCAACATAACTCGACTAGTTAATATATTAATAATTTTTATTTTTATTTTTTTTATTGAAGATCATACATAGACTCGATAAAAAGAAGTACAAAAGTATTGCTTTTTTTTCTAAAATAAATAAAATTTAGGGGGRAAATATGTTTGATTTAAATTACCTAGATAATTTATTTACAACATCTTTAATAAATAAATCTACTTACATATAATTTTAAAAAAAATTAAGACAAAACTTTAATTTTGTTTTTATTTAAAATTGTAGAGAAGAAGAAACTAGAAATAATTACCAAACACATTTATTTTCAATACAAAAGAAAAAGGTACCAAACACTAGTTAATATTTCTTTCTAAAAAGAAAAACATAAAGTTAACATGAATATAGCTCAACTGGTTAAGACATCTATCTCCGACTAAATGATTGTGAGTTCGAATTTTCATCTCCACATGTTGTGCTACGATCGTGGCTAAACAAAAAACCCAATTTTGATAGAGGAATATTCCATTCAAATATCTATCCAAATAACACCAAACCAATGAAAGAGGATGATTATGTATGACCAAGTCACATAGGAATCTCAAGTGGGAATTTGTTCTTCCATGTGAGCACCAAAATGGCCTCACACATTTTGCCACATGTTCACGTGATATGTACAACCCAAAAGTTTTTCATCAACCTTCTCAATTTTCCACAACACTAACCATAATAATATAATATTAGAAATTCTTATTTTATTACTTTTAAAGGACAATCCAATTTACCAAAGCTTAGGATTTCTTAGTCATTATGACTTAGAAATCTCGGGTTCGAATCTTCTGTTGAGTATGACTTAGAAATCTCAGGTTCGAATCTTCTGTTAAAAGTTCTATCCTAAGATGAAAGCTCAAACTTCTAATTATTTTTTAAAAAAATAATCTTATTTTATTGAATTAGATTTCATCAAATAATAAATAAATATTCTCTATCTGGGAAAACAAAATAATAAAATGTTCCATCATTTTCAGTTCTTCAACTCAAAAAGAGGGAGAGGAAAAAATAAATAAAGAAAGAAAATAGAGAGAGATAGCTGTCAAATTTCAATGTGGGTCCCTTTCTCATTATATCTTGTCTAAAAGATTCTCTCTATTATTTTGCCAGTGAGAAGGATTGTTTTGTCATTCACCCAAAATTCCATTATAACTGTTTTTTTTTGTGGGGTTAAAAAAGATTTTCTCTTGTTTTTTTTTTCAATGACTTATTGATCAATTAGTTGCTTGGAAGCAACTTGTTGATCTTTGCCCTTTGGGTGGGTAATTCTCTTTTATAAAACACAATGGCATATTGTAATTTCATCATTATCCAAGTGTTTGTTTTATTTAAGAAAAAATATATATAATATTACSGATGTGGAGTCAAATTTTGAACTTTCAAACTTGTTATAGATACTTTGTGATTTGTTGAATTATAATCAATTTATATTTCAAAAGTAATTGATATTTGTCCAATTAAATATCATTACTCAGAGCAATGGTAATTGGTCAATATTATGGATGAGGAATCGAGCGTAGATGTGGGCAAATAATGCAGCCCCATGTGGCAGCAGGAACCAATCCTGCTGCAATAAGTTGATCGACGGGAAAGCAATGCACCCCTGGCATAGTACATGTCAATGAGCTTGCAGTGCCCCGACGATGGTAGAGCTAGTAATGGAGAACATGTCGGATGGCAGCGAGAGCAAGATCCCCTAYCTGGAATGTCCCCCAACAGACATGTCATGGGACGCATTGGAGAGGGGCCCACCACGTCCCAAACCAAGCGGCCCTTAGATGATACCCTTGCCTGTATGAGATGAAGAAGGTTTTGTCCACGGGGTATGTGAAATCCACTGCACAAACCACACTACGGGTCTCCAAATTTTTCTCTCTACCTTGTCTTCTCTAATTTGAGCATCAGAGGATATTTTTGCAAGRCACTTCACCGGTGTCGAAGTCTATTAAGAACCCTGTTCGACGACCTTTTCATTAAAGTTTTTTTTTTTAAACAATCCATTATCGATTGTGTGAATTCAATCTCTAACTCAGYCTAAGTTAAGGAGAACCTGTAAGATATAAATACAGATCGACAGAATTTAGTTTTTCTTTGATATTTCAAACACCTCACATGTCTGTTTTTATAATTAAAAACTACAAAACCTCGCTCTATAAATTCAAAATAATCACAAAACAAAAACAAAGTTGAAGAATGGCTATATATAATAATAACATAAAATAAAAATAGCAATATTCTTCACTAAGATAAGTGATGATCTTTCTTTTTGTCATTTTGCACAACCAAACATTTTCCATCCACCCAATTTCAAATGCATAGAATCTGACAACTAATTACAAGACAAATTCCAAATAATTTCAGCATCTTCTAATATTCACAACCAACTCATCTATGGGATTTTATAATRATAATAATAATAACAATAATTTATTATTATTTCTCTTTTTCTATCATTGGTTGTGTTTAATCTAAATGGTATCAAAGCCTGTGAGCTTATTACATAGGAAAGAGTACAAAAGACYTAGATTTTTTTTAGATTGATAATCTAAATCATTTAGAGAATCCAATGTAAGGACTAGGAATAAGAAAGGGCTAACATTACATTTTTTACAAATAGGATTGCGAAAACCTTTAAAAACATATATTAATTCTTTCTATCGAGCTATTAAATTTTCAATGATAGTAAATTATAACTCATTTCTATTCTTTTTAATTAAGAAATGAGTTTGTTGGATAACATTTTGTATTTCGAGTTTCTCATGTTTAAGTAACGTTTGTAAAATTATAGAGAAGTTTTTCTTCCATGTTTTTTGCTAGTTTTCTTTTGCTTACTTTTCAAAATAAYTTTTTATCGAAAATAGATGTATTAACTAGGCTCAGMTATTTTTATTTTATTTTATTTTGTTATAAATTTATTATATAATATGAAAATGTTTTATAAAAAGAAAGTTTTCAGAATCTTTAATTTTGAAAACATCAATTTTAGATATTGTTGGAGAACCATTTCACCTTTTAGTTTTTATTTTAAAAAATTATGTTACTTCRTCACAATATATTGGTATACTTACTACTAGATAATGAAACACAAAAATAAAATTAGTATTTATAATTTTAATTAAAAAAATGATTATAATCATCATGGATTAGTTCAGTGATATACCATTTTTATTATTAGTTTTCAATAGGCACAAATCACTGTATTTTATCAATCAATAAAAACAAAATCAGCCAACGAGCTTCAAATCAATGGTCCAAAATTATGTCTGTGGGCTCTAGAATAGAAAGGGTTTTGAAACCATATTACTAATTTAGTATGTTAATATTCTCTCTTTTTTTTCTCCTTATTAGTTTTTTAARAATATATTTGGTAACTATTTTTTATCTTTTTTATTTTTAATTAGAAACAATTTCAAAATTGAACTAAAAATGTATTTGRTAACGACTTTTATTTCTTATTTATTATTTTTAAGAAGCATTCTCAAAATTGGATAGAAATATTGAAAAGAATAAAATCATATTTCTTGTTTCAATTTTAAGTATTTTTTCTCAAAATATAAATAAAATATATTTTACCATTCTTGACTTATAAAATACATAATAAATATTTAATATATCTTTTTATTTACAAATTTAGAAAACTAGAAATCTAACATATTTCTGCCATTAAAAAAAAATTCATAAACCTTCCGCACGGGCTCTTAATTATTATCCATACTTATACAACTAATTAAGACTAAAACTACTTCATTGGGCAGCAAAAAACAACCAATCAGAAACGTCCACATAAACTTTGAAACTCAAATCCAACACCTCAAAGAAAATTTCATCAACCTCTAGAAATCCCCATGGTAAAGAAAGTAATGGTATTTATATAATCATGAGATGTATTTTGTTTTTCCCTTTTTCCTTTTCTTGGTAACAAGATTGGAAGATGAACTTGGTTTCTTCACATAAACATTGGCTTTAGCTTTCCTACAAACTTTTTTGTACCATTTTTAACACAAACAGTACTTTCTACTACTCAAGGGGAAGGGACACTAATCCTGCAAAATTTCAGACCCTCTTTGCTATCTCTCTCAACACAACATCCTTCACCTTTTTTTTTATGTACCTTATAATATATCTTCTTTTCTTCTTTTGCTTTTTGTTTTCAAAATTCATGGTGTGGGAAAACTCTTCTTATGCATCTTCATTTCCTGGTTTTTTACTTCTGCTCTTCCAGCTGTAGCTCTCCGACTTTAAGTCGTCGTCGTCGTCCATGCTGTCACCGCCCGTGGTCGACGTCCCACCGGTCCCTGCTAACTGAAGGGGGCCTTGGGGTGAGCCAGACTGAGAACTGCATGCCTTTGATGAATCGCCGTACTGATCTTGGGGCATCAACAATCCCCCGAGTACGACAACGGGTTGGTTTGCGGGGGCGACTGTAGATGCTGGAAGTCTTCTCGTGTGGAGTCGGTATTTCTGGATTAAGGAAAGCAACAGTTGTTTAATCGTCTGATCATCGTAAATGACGCGACGCGAAACATTATGGAGATAAGATAAGATTCTACACAGTTCATCAAAGAATGGAAAAGTGGGCAGAGCTCTTGTTCAACTTTTCAGTCGTGTCTTTAAAGTAGTACCATATACAAAAGGACATTGAAAGTAAGGTTTGGAGCTTGCCTGCAGATGACTCTTCACTTCGTCATTTGTGAGGCCATCGACCTGCATAAGTTCTCTAATCTGCTTCGGCGTGGCCACTGGAATTGATACAAAAGTTTCGAGTCAGAAAACCGACAACTTTCATCACTTTCAATCAGAAAAATTAACATCAACAACCAACTTCATAGTTCTTGACTTTTTGGTATATCACATAATGGTGATTAAGGTCTCTAGTTTTACATGATTTTCAGGCCATCAATCATTTAAACATAACAAGAATGTCATATTTATACCCTATAGACTAAATCACAACCAAAAACCCAATCTAAAGTGCTCAAAATTGTGAAATATGATGCTCAAAATTACGTAACACCTAGACTCAAATCCAAGAGAGTTAACAGATTATGCAATCTAGATTTAACATCAGCTTCATTTCTTACCCTGTGAGCCTCCCAGTTGCTGCAAGGCGCTAACAAAACGGCGATGCAACTCGGGCGACCAGCATCTCCTCTGCTTGCGAGAAGACTGGTGCTGGTGCTGGTGTTGGTGTTGCTGCAATCCGGTTCGTAAATTTGCCGAAGCAGTCAGTGTGGAAGACGAAACTGCTCTAGTCCCACTCGATCTCGAACCGCCACTAGAAGCTGATTCCTCTGTTGGATTTTTGATTCCTGGAGTGCAAAGAGAGAGCCCATGAATTGGAAATTCCTCCTTATCCTCCTTCCCCACAGCCATGCCTGGAGGAAACACAGAATATGCCTTAAATGGCACATGGCCCTGGCTCCTCAATCCATTCTTATTTCTACAAGAAACCTGAGTCACTACAGGGCCTCCTCCTTTCTCATTTCTCTGTGACCACAAAAGAAAAAAGAACAAGAAGCAAATTCCAACCTGATTATCTTCAGAGTTCACACACAAAAAGGATAAAAAAGATTTCACTGTTCTTATTCTTTGGATAAACTTAAAACTATACCTTAGTTTCAAATTTGGAATCTCGTTTCCGATCGTAGCTGTAATCAGTACTGTGGTGATTACCATCAGAGTTCCAAAGTTGAACAGAGCTCATCCAATTCTTCTGATCTCTATACTCTTTTCCTTTCCTGAAACCATCATCTTCTTCATCTTCTTCTTCTACATCTTGTTCTTTCTTCAGAGGTATGAACTCTTCCAAAACCGGTCGAGTTTTGGGAGCTGCACATTGGATTGACTCCTCCTTCACAGCTAAAATGGCTGAAAACACCAACATTAAAAACAGCCATAAGTGCAAAATGGGGGGAAATTTTTTCCCAAAGAATCTCCTCAAATGTTTGAATTCCAATGGTCTTCACACAGATTCCCCAAAATCCAAATCCCACGAATAAACCTCCTGGGAAAGTAAATTCCCCCCTTCCCCACCTATTGAATCGCAATCCCCTAAACAAATTCCAGAAAAAACACGAAAAAGATTAAGAGAAGAAGAACACACCATCTTTCAACAGAATCATACACATAGGAAGCTCCCGCTTGAAGGCATCGATCTTCCTCATTTCCTCCTCCAAATTTCTGACGAAATCGTTGAGCTTGGCGACCCTCTCGGGCACATTCGCGATCATGGAGACCTCCTTGAAGAAATCGGTGATCGTTTTGGGGACGAAACTGGGTCTGAAATCCAAACTGAGCTCAGGAGGAAGCGAACCCATGATTGATCTTCGCCTTCTCCGGAGAACCCAGATCCTCGATTCGATAAATCGTTGGGAGGATGGATCAAAAACGAAAAATTTTTATAAAAAAGAGGAATGGAGTGAGGTGTATTTGCATAAATAATGGCGATGGGAATATATATACAGAGAAAAGGGACAGAGAAAGAAGAGAAAAAGAAGAAAATGGTCTGATATCATATCATATGCGGAGATTCTGATCGATGGAGCGAGTGGAAGAGAAACCATTGCCGAGTTTTGACGGGGTTATAAAAGTCACTTTCGCGTCGTCGCGTATTTCCCCCTCACTGTACAGAGTGGGCTCGCTGAGTTAACTCAGCCCGATTTGACTCAGGGAAAAAGAGAATTTAATTTCGATTTTGTCTTTATCCTTTATTTATTTCTTTGTTCATTTATTATTTATATTCGTTTTCTGAATTGTTCTGACCGTTTAAAAACTATTTTAGTTTCTAAATTGTTTTAAGGGTTTTATTTTGAGATTTAAATCTTATTACTCAAATTTTCAAATTTATTCTATTTTTTATGTCTTGAAATTTGATTTTTTTAAACAAATAATTAATTTAGCCTTTCTTATTATTTTACCACCAAAGTAACGGAGTAAACATTGAATTTATCTCTTGGCGGGAGTTAACATCATTTTGGAACTCTCCAAAGGTATTTCCCTTTGTCGTGTTTGAATGAGAGTCTCGAGGTAACAAAATATCGAGTTGGCTTGAGGTTTTTTTCTTATCCTATTTTCATTTTTTTTTCAAGGGATTTTCTTTATCCTATTAATTAAAACGCACTTTAATAGATGTACGAATATTGTTTGTGTAACCTTCAAATTGACAAAGTGGAACTTGAGACTAACTTATTTTTAAAAGTTGCCCTCCAACCCGGACCTAACTATGTATTATAGTTTAATCTACTTGCTCATACAAATTTTTAAACTTTTATTCTAATTTAATTTTTAAATTGGGCCTAAAATATTATTTCAGCCCAGGGTAACTTTTAATTCATTTAATAAAATTTGTAGTTGGTTTCAAGCTCTTAAAGCTTATAATTTTTAGCATTTGTTCATATTAATTTAATTGAGGATGTACATTAACTCGATTTCTAGGCCGTAATCATTTTGTAGGAAAGATGATCGAGATGTTTTATATGTCAATATTGATGTCGGGTAGATAACATTTATGGTAAACAAAAATCAGACATTTTAAAATCGAAAATTAGCCAGAGAAAATAACAAATAATTTTAAACTAGTAGAATATTGTCAAATAAAAATAGTTTTGACTAAAAAAATATATGAGCATTCCCAACCTAACAAACAGTGTAGGGTATTCTTGTCCATTCATTTGATAAGATTTGTTCCCACAAAATGGATCACATGACCCCTAAATGATCGTCCACTAGTAGAACAAGATTATACATTACTAGCATTAAGAGATGATACAATATATAAGTGACACGATTAAAATTATTATTACACAATAAATTCTAAAAGCGAGATTAGTTTGCACTCTAATACATTCTAATACATTTTGACACGCACGCGACAAAACTTCTCTCTCTACCCTCAACTAAAAAAAGTCAAACAAATTCTTTCTAACATCTTGTCATTTAAAGAATATGCCCATAACATAGAAGACATGAATGAGTAGATTTAAGTTTGAATTTTAAAGATAAGACAATAGACGAGAACAATATTTGTGACCCTGATAATAATGAATTCTCCATTAATTTGGACCATAACTTGTGCAGAGACACTCAAATTAGATCTCTTCGACATCATGCAATTAGAGACATAGAAAATATTGTGATTGATGTATCAACAAGGCCAACTTGGAGTGGTGTATTAGAGTGACATATAATTAACAATATGGCTTCTTGACACAAATGGCTACTTAGTTTGGGGATCTTTCTCATTCCTTTACCAAATGCAATCTTGTGTTATAATAAAAAGAGGTTGAAATTTGAGTTGGGTGATACTTAGGCCCTAAAAGAAACAAAATTAGCTTCTAAATCAATGAGAAAGGCAATAAAGAGAATAGTAAATCCAATTCCACCGGGAGATGATGTGTGTTTTCTAGCGGCTTAGACTAATCCAATCAAATCACTTGACACCTCTTAATTTCTCCTACATCAAGTTCGTAATTTCGCTCAATAGAAAAGAATGTGTAACGTGTGTGGAGAACATGTAAAAGATGGATGCTGAATACAAACACAATGTATACGATTGTCATGAAGGAAAAAATAAATAGTTCGTATAGTGAGTAACTTTAAACAAGTACATTAGGAAGGACTATAAACAAAATACAATAAGATGACCATAACAACCATTTAGAAATATGGATAAAGTAGCCACTCAAAATCATCGATGAAATATATGGAAGGACACAAAAACCGATGTTTGTACTAAGAATTCGTAATAAAAAAATGAGCATGTAACTCTGGTTATATGGAGTGAATTAACTTTTCTAATGTAGACCTATATAATGTGATCCACAAAATGTACGGTTATGGGACTAGTAATTAACCATCATTTGCTCAGTTGAGTATAATTAATGGATTTAAATGTATCACTGTTTTAAGGTATATCTTAATTTAATATTAAATTTTATGCTTATGACATTTTTTTTATGAAGGTATACACTTTGTAAAAGAAAATAAAACACAGTTAAAATTGAGATAAATTCTTTAGAACCTAAGGAGATTATCTTGAAAATGCCAAGGATAAAAGTGACAATGAGGCAATCCATTAGAATTTATATTATAATTTAAAATATTTTTAGTATTATGAACGTAAGATGAGAATCGAACTTTCAACCTCTCTAAATAAGATGACTTAATCGCTGAGCCAAGTTTATATTAAGATTAAAATCTATCCTTCTTTACCATAAATCTGGCATCCATTCATAAATTATTTTTTCAATTGAAAATGGTAAATTTATATACTTATAAAAAAAATCTCAAAACATAATATATTTGTTAAGAAAATGTTCGAAAGGAGATCTATTGATCTTTTCTCTCTCTCAATATATTTCAACTATATTAGATGATTTGGACAGATAATGACCTGAAACGTGTCTTCACTTAAATAAATGTTGTAATAAATAAGATTTCCCATTGATTAACTAATTTATTTCAATGCATGAGAGGATAGGAATGGTTTACTTGTGACATGCCCCCTGCCAAGTCATCATTTAATGTCTAAAATTTTAATGTATATTATTTTATTATATTATGACAAAAAAATTTTACTGCATAGTGTTACAGGGAACAAAAGCAACGATTAGATTGGGAAAGAAGCACACACGTTAAGTGAGTGCCGGAAAACGTTGACCCGGGCCAACCCAGGTCGACCTCAGCCGACCAAGCGCCTAGGCGACTCGACACCGAGGAGGTCCTCGGTGTCGAGCAGTTCTCGACTAACGGCTCGTCCGACCGTTTCGTGATACCTCCCGTTTCGCAGTTACACCCGCAACGGATCTAAAATCGACGGGATTCACGTGAGACTGCTATAAGATGGACGGAACCATAGAGGTAAGGGGGCCAACTCTTGAGACTCAAATTCAAGATCCTTCCACTCTCCACGCATCGGAACTCGTGCGACCAGAAACACACCGGTTTAGGTTTGATTGGTTTTGCAGGTTCTTTGTCCCCTTCTTATCAGATTTGGTGCGGATCTCGAAAGGAACGAAAGAGCATAATTCACGCCATATATTGACAAGTGAATAGAAGCACATATTACCATTTTTTTAGTTTAATCTCATTAGATATGGTTGGACTAAAAAAAATTAAAATTTTCTATTTATTTTATTTTTGTCTAAATTTTTTAACATTCTATTTTAGTTTTTAATTTTGCATAAAAAACTATTATAATCCTTGTCGATAATTTTTTAATAAATTATTCGACAAAAACTTGACAACAAACACAATTTTTGTTCATTTACTTAGATTGATAGATGTATAAATATGGACAATGGCGTGTGTGAAGCCACATATCAAAGTTACAAAACAAATTTGTCTTGTAAAATGGTCATTGGAAAATTAAATGTAAAAGCCTAAATAAGTTTTTTTTTAGGGATTAAAACAGAAGGTTTAGAAGTTGATAAAATAAAAAAACATTTGAAAGTTGAAATTGAAATAAAAAGTTTTAACCTTAATTATATATTTGTTGCACTAAAAAAACCTTAATTATATATTATTTGAATCTCAACCTTAATCATTATTTCATTTTAATCTTTTATGTTTCTATGTTTTATGGTTGGGCCTAAATTTTTAGGTCATCGATTTCCTTTACTTCCTCGTAATAAATTTTTCTAATGTATTGATTAAAAATCTTATGGGTCACGACATAATTTTGTATCTATTACTTAAAGTTTATATCCAAATATGACATTGAGTTTAGAAATAGATTGGCTAATAATTCTATTAAAAACAACACAACTCGAACCAAAACAAAATTTTATAAACATTCCAGAAACATAATAAAATATTTAAAAATATAAAAACGATATTAGAGAATAAGTGTGAAAGCTTGAGGGCTTAAAATTAAATTTAAATCAATTAAATCTTTTATATTTGTGTATTCTTATTGTATTTATAATATTAAAAATGAGTGATAATTATCTTTAGAATAACCTTTTGTGATAAGTCTGGATAATATTAGATATAATGACTTGGGCTATGCAACACCAAAAATTTTCCTTGTTGCAGTTGGTAAAGAAACATGCCTGTGGTCCATTTTAATAGTCATATTTTTTGTTTCACTACATAATAATGGCATAAAACAAAATTTTCAAACTTTACCTTTAGAAATAAATAATTAAAACTCTAATCATAAAGCAGTTTTACTTGGAAGAAATTTGTTGGTGAGTCGAGTGACCTTCCAATGTCGAGATTCTTGTAAAATTGCAACAAGACCCAACACGAGTGGAAATTATAATAAATAAGAGGAAACAACAATGCACGAATTCAAACACAGGATCTCCGACTCTAATACCATATTAAAGACGAATAAACCACCACTCAACTCAAAACCTTCAACTCATGAGTTGAATAAATTTAATTCATTTATGAGTATCTGAAGAATTCTCTCCCTTGATTTCGGTCGTGCCAAATTGGTGATGGGTGCTGACTATGCTTAGTCAAGTCCCGGCTTTCATGTACGTTAATGGCAGTAATGGTAGGACAAGGTCGACCTAGTTCGTCTCTAGCGATTCTACTGACA